CAGGAGTTTTTGTATTTGAGGGGATTTCCAGACTGTAATTTGGGAAGGATGGTTGGCAAAGCATTAGGAATCTTCGCCAGGAACAGAGGGCCACAGGCTTTGCTGATCATTGGCACCTTCTCTGGGGTGACTTTCATGTGTGCAGTGACATCAATGGGAGAGGCCATTGCACTTAGTGGTTTCACTTGCTCTTGCTCTTTCCTGTGAGTTAGTTTAATGCACTCTTCATGGATGAGTGAATTAAATTGTTATGAAGACTTGAGCCACCTTCTTAGGACATTGTGTTGTCTTCTTGTCTTCTACCTCTAATAACTCTCTGTTAAGTAGGAATTTTGAGAGGAGAAAGGTGAATGGTTTCTTTCTTTAAAAAAATATATATTTTATTGTTTTTTTACAGAGAGGAAAGGGGAAGGATAGAGAGTTAGAAACATTGATGAGAGAGAATCATTGATCAGCTGCCTCCTGCACACCCCGTACTGGTAATGTGCCCGCAACCCAGGTGCATGTCCTTGACCGGAATCGAACCCAGGACCTTTCAGTCCGTAGGCTGACACTCTATCCACTGAGCCAAACCTGTTTCAGTGGTGAATGGTTTCTTACAGTGACCTGGGTAGGTGGAAGGTTTCCAAGATGTGGTCATGGAGCACTGGCTGGGCTCAGAGCCAGCTCTTGGAGAGGTTCACAGGGGCCTTCAGTCAAATTGAACACTCACTGTCCATTGGACACATACAGGAAACATATTGCCCATGTAATGCAGGAGAATAAAACAGTTGTGCTTGCTTTTGGCTGTCTGTACACCTTGGTATGGATTTCTATTGCTCACATTTTCTGGTGTCCTGTTTTAAGGGAAAGTTACACTTTGGGCAGCTACTGCATTTTAGATTTGCCATTGTCAACTTCCATTTGTCTCACAGCTGGAAAAACATACTCAAGCAGCATCTCGGTGTCCTTGCTTTTGCTGCATTGTGGAGACCAGACTTCTGTAGGTGCTTTGTGATTAGTGGAAGGCAGGTAGCACCACACACATTTTTTCAGGCCTATTTTCTAATGGATTGTTTCCCATACTTGTCAGATCCTAACAGTTACCATGAAAAAAGTGTCCATCATACACAGAACCAAGTTCCACCCCTCCTGAGTCAGGTTCCCCAGGGGGCGGATTTGCATATTGCTATTATTGCCAGATCTTGTCTTCTTGGAATCTTCTGGAGACTTCCTTTCTACTGAGAAGAAAAAGGCTGGTGTGTGAACATGAGCGGCACAGCTCGTTAGCTTCGTGGTCTCTATATTTCCCCACACTGTCCTCCCACAGGAGGAACAATAGGAGCTCTCTCCTCAGCGCTTTTGCACATGCTGTTCCCTCTCTCTGCGAGTCTTTTCCATGGTGTATCCATGTGGTGCATTCCTGCTTCTTCACCTGCTTCAGTGCTTAGTTCACAGGACACCTGCTCAGTGAAACCTTCCCAGATACTCCAGTGAAATAACACCCCTCTCCCTGGCCTCCACCAGTGTACCTTCCCCTCTCTGTCCTCCTTCCCTATCTATTTTCCTCCACAGAATTCACTACATTTAGTCTGCTATATGTTTTAAAAAACATAATCTCCCCTGTAGAATGTAGTTCTCTGCAGCAAATGCATTTTTGACCAGTTGGTTCCCTGCAGTGTCAAGCACAGCAGTTGGTATGTAAATGGGGCTCAGTAAATATCTGAGGATGGATGGGTGGGTTTTTTGACAAGTCCTTAGTCATCATTCCTTTCACCTAATTTCAGAAAACACTGGTCTTTTAAACATTTGAGCAAATGTTTAGGGAAAACTGAGTGAACCATAGGAAATGTTTGTCTCCCCCCCCCCCCCCCCCCAGTCATTTCTCCCCATTCTCTGGGTTCTAAGACTTGCTAAATGCCTGGACTTGCTTATAGCCCTTGCCTAACCTTGCTGCGAACAGCTACCCTGGCAGGGATGCTGACATATGCAGAATGAGTGGGAATCTTTTGGGGGTGACTAATTCACCAGGGTGAACAAATTTTTCTGCCGTGAAGCACTTTTATTTGTCCATTTCACCTATAGATGTTCTTTTTCTTGGTACAGTGAATGATAAATATCTCCCAGCTTTTTATATTTTATAGTTTTTAGCCAGATTAACTTCAAATAGGAGATTTGAACAAATCTACCTCCTCAAGGGTAGTTGCCACTCAAAGTGTAGTACTTGGACCGACATTGCCCCATGTGGGAACTCATTAGAAATGCAGAATCTCAGGCCCACTTCAGAACTACTGAATCAGATTATGCATAAAATGGTGAATTTTATGTCAAGTTGGCTGGACCATGTTTGGGCAAACATTATTGTAGGTGTTCCTGTGAAGGTGATTTTTGTATGAGATTAGCGTTGGTGGGCTTGAGTGAAACAGGTTACCCTCCATAGGGGTGGGCTTCATCCAGTTGTTTGAAAGCCTGACTAAAACAGTCTGACCTCCCTGGGCAAGAAGGAACTGCCGGCAGGCGGCCTTCAGACTCGAACAGCATCAGATCTTCCCCCAGGTCTCCACCCTGCCAGCCTGCACATTCCCGGCTTGCCAAACCTCCACCTCCTCATGTGCCAATTCCTTAGAATACGACTCTCTGTGCATATACACTCCTATTGATTCTCTTTCTCTGGAGAACTCTGACTGATACAATCCACTTTAACAAGATTCCTAGGAGATTCGAAGCATCTTCAAGTTTGAGAAGCACTCCCCTAAATAAATTCTTCCGGTAGGATGATTTTGATGGGGGCTGCCTTTAGCTCTTTGGAGTATTATGTATTTGATTCTGTAAAAGGATACCTAAGGGTTGTATATTAAGGCAATTATTTTAAAGCTCTACAGTAGCCATCTCCTGGATGAATGTCATTTTTCTGAATTATTATTATGCTGATTCTATTTTAGGATGAAAACATTTTAGACTCATTTTTCTAGTTTAAATAGAGTAAAGGTTGGTATGTTTTCCCTCTACCACCTTTCCCTTGTCTTTAGTTTTCTGACATAAACCTTTACCCTGATGGCCTTCATACACATTGGGTCCAGAGTGTTTTACTCTAGGGGGACATTAGACCCAAAGATAGGATTGTATGCCAATTGTGTTTGTCTATTTTATACAATTGGAATCTTGGGCTCAAATGTTATAGTCAAAATATTTTATATGATACTTTATTAAGTCTTACCTTAGAGTGTGTGAATTTTCATGTTTCCTTGAATGGTCAGTGTTGGTTGCTTTATTTTAGTGGGCAGTGCTGCCATAAAGGAATGTCTGATGTTCCATTTGACTTTGTCCGGTAAGCTGCAGTGAAGAAAACTTTGTGCTATGAGTCATCACATGCATTGATTAGATATATTTTCACTACTCTTTAATGAGCTTAATGCCAGCCAGTTTATTCTGTCTGGCAGAATTTTACCATGATACCATCTTATCATCCCATAGGGCTACATAGATGAGTAAGGACTACGTGTAAGCAAATTTTCTAGCTAATCCAGTGATATTCCTTAAAGTATCATGTTCTTTAAGTTTGAACTGTTTTATAAGTGGTTTTCATGCAACTTGTCATATATATTTAATACATTAAGCAGAAGAAGGCTAAAAATAAGTCTGGGTGTAAGGACGACTCTAATCATTGTGTATTTGGAAACACCAGGCCATTGTACCATGAGGGTGGTCTTCTCTGAGGCAGTGGCAGTAAATGGTACATGGCACACTTTCCTGCTCCATAAAGTGAGCTCAGGCTGCTATTTTTTTTTTTTTTTGAGTTGTCAGATTTGATTTTTTTATTTTGTGATTCCAGGGTTGGTTGCTGTCAGGTCTTGTGGCAGTACAAGTGCCTCTGGTGTTCTGTCTCCTGAGCCCTTCTATTTTGATGCTTTTAATCACTTGTATATTTGAAACCTGCTAGATAACCTTGCTAGAATTCATTTCAATTAAGAGTTGGTTCAGAGGCATATCTTCAGGAGGTGAGCTAGGAGTTGAACAGGTACTTTTATGGATACGCCTTTCAGCAGCCAAAGGAGGTGAGGTTCATTTTCCCCCTTCAGGTTCTCAGTTCCTGCCTTTGGATTACTTCACTGTTCATTAACTATCTGCTATGGTCTCTGTGCTAGGAACATTTAAAGGTGAAGTAAACATTTTTATTGTTCTCAGAATCTCTTCTGGGGATAGAAAAATAAATATAAAGTAAAGCAAAGCAGAAGCTATACAATAGTGTAAACAACATACTGTGGCTTGGAAGAAAGAGAGTCTGTGTGGATTTATCCAATCTTAATGGAAGATACAAGGTTGGATGAGGCTGCGGGTGGTAAGATGAGAAGTATAGTTTAGTTATGGAGAGGATGTCCCAGGTGAGCAATGTGTGAGCAATGGTGGCCCAATAAAGGATATATGGAAGGAAGGGAGTTTGTCCAGGTGTGGCTGGGCAAACATCTGTGGTGGGCACTCAGAGTTCACCGGCTTGTTCGCCAGGGCATGTTTTATGAGTTGATTTTCTACATTGAACTAGCGACTTTGTAATAAGAATTGTAGAGCATCACAAATCCTGGAGTAATAATTCTGCTTGGCTTGGGTGAATTGCCCGACTGGTGCTTCCACTTCACTCTTTATTTCAGTGTTCCTATCTTACTGTGCTTGGAACATGGACCTCTTTCTGTTCTGTGATCCTAGAAACATTCTTTATATGCTTACTGTGTTTGTAACACATAGCTGCTAGAGGGTGGATAAATTTCCCGATTACACTGTGTGAAAACGAAATGAACACATATATTAAAATTTAAAAACAAAGATCACATTGGAGTTTTTTCTTATCAGGTACATCCTTTTATAAAAAGGAGCTTTGTACACAAGGACCAGCAAATAATTTACTTGCCCTGAATTTTGAAATATTTTGTTTTTAAAATCCTTTGTGAAAATTTTGAAGCTGTGTTTTCTTGTCTTTTAGAATTTGTATTTATAACTGATAGTAGATTTTTTCTTTGTATTTATAGTACAGCCAAGTACAGCGTGTTGACATTTCTACCTCGATTCTTATATGAGCAGATTAGAAGAGCTGCTAATGCCTTCTTCCTCTTCATTGCCTTATTACAGGTAATGTTTCTTTAAAATCTATTTAAAATTCATAACCTTGATGAGGTTCATAACCAAAATGAGATTTTGCTGAAAGGTCATTTACCTAAAAAAGTGTCATAATACTTCAATGTAATTTGCTTTCTTTATCCAGTTATTGTTTGCATGAACTAACATGATCTGGCTTAAAGGCAGACTTCTTTAAGTATGTCATACATTGCAATTACTAAATAGACATTGAGAAATGGCTGGAAGATCTTATTTAAAATATATATATATAATTGATTTGTTACAGAGAGGAAGGGAGAGAGATAGAGAGCTAGAAACATCGATGAGAGAGAAACATCGACCAGCTGCCTCTTGCCCTACTGGGGATGTGCCCGCAACCAAGGTACATGCCCTTGACCGGAATCGAACCCGGGACCTTTCAGTCCGCAGACTGCTGCTCTACCACTGAGCCAAACCGGTTTCGGCTAGAGGGTCTTATTTATTTATTTATTTATTTTTAACTCTTTTTCTATTCTACATCTAGTAGTGTTAGATGAAAATTTAAAAATGTGTAACACACTAAGCTAGTTTTTAAAATAAGGTAATTGTGGTGTAGCAGAAATGGAAAAGAACCGCAGAAGAGTGAGTGGTGAGTGTCATTTTTTTTCTTCATAGATTTTAATTTGTCAACTTCTCTCTTTTGGTCTTTTGTCTTGCAGCAAATCCCAGATGTATCTCCAACAGGAAGATATACCACCCTGGTGCCATTGATCATTATTTTAACAATTGCAGGCATCAAAGAGATTGTAGAAGATTTTGTGAGTTTTTGTTTTCAGATAATAAAAAACCTTGTATTGATTATAACATAACTCACTTGTTGCTTTGGGTTTTCTGATTAAGACAGGACATTGGTCTACAACTTAATTAGCCTCTCAAGGTCATGATGGCATTTTTTTTTTTTTGAGGAAACATGTACATACGGTGTCCTTAATGTCTGTACAATGACATAGACATAGTTCAAACTACGTTTTCTAATATTAGTTTCCTGGACCCCCTTTGGTTTTTCTGACTGATGTTCCTATATCTTCCTGTAGAGTTCGCTAAGTTGGTGGCAAATGTATTGCAGTCTAGAATAGCAGCATTGTGCTGGCTGTACCTGAGGTGATTTTGCAAGGATGTTCTCCCTCCTCATACTAATCTCAGTGTATCTCCAAGTTCATTGGCTACAGCCATATTGGTACTCTGTCATCCTCTTTTCTAACTCCATACTCTTTCTCTTCCCTTCCCTCCTTCCCCTCCCCAACCTTACCCTCCACATACTTGCAATTTCTAGCACACATCTTATGCACATTACCCCCCTCCCCGGAATAGGCAAATGATTAAATGTAATCCAAATCAAAGCAAAGCTACTTTGCCCCAGAAGTTTTTTAATCAGTAAAATGGCTTCAAGTAATGTTGTGTTTATAATACTGAATAATTTCTCCAGTCTGATGTGAAACAAAGGAGGGGTGAGAAGTTTTATACTTCAAGGTGCTTGTTCATCAGTAGAATCTAAATATGGTAATTTAAACCAGAGTACATGACAACATATCTATATTTGTCTGCTAATTCAGCAAGTGGGACTGGTCGCGAACCATTGAACTGAACTGTAGAGCATTAGTGTTGTAGGCAGTTTGTTTCCTCACCTCTCCCCACTCCCCTTGGCCCTTATTGTTTGCTGTTTCATTTATCCATTTGGAACTTTTGAATCTAAGGACTTTTTTCTTTTTTCTTTCTGTAACAGAAGCGACATAAGGCAGACAATGCAGTAAACAAAAAGAAAACCATAGGTAAGATACCAGGCCAATCACTTTTTCTACTGGAAACCTGAGAAAAGGCCTAGATTTTTAAAAGTTTAGATAAGTAGTTAGTGGTATTGAGATAAATTGGAGGAAATTATCTATAAATACTTTAAAGAAATAGCAAAATGATAAACAAGTGCAATAAAATGTGAGCCCTGTCAATATCTGAATAGGACTTGTGTATTTTTAGAATTTAGAAAAGGTTGTAATTTTCAGGAGCTAGACATATTTTATATCAAAAAACTTCTAAGCATTCATGTCAGTGATTTTAATTGCTTCCTACCTCCCTCTATCTACCTTTTATTGTATTGACTTGTAGGACAAGTTTTTGTTTTGTTTTTGGTAACTCTTATAACAGCTGGGTGATTTTTATTTTATTCTGGGATAAATATGAATAGATTTAACTTACATACATCTATATTTATGTGTATGCATGAATGAATTATATATGGTACATAGGTACATAGATTGGAGGAGTGTTAGTTTTCTATTTATATGTCTAAGGAGATAGTATGTTGGGATTTATAAGTGGAATTTTAAAAGGGGTCTTTTGAATTTTGGAAAGCTGATTTTTATTATCAATATTAACTTATACACTTGCATGTTTTTTCTTTTTCAGTGTTAAGAAATGGTATGTGGCAGACAATTATGTGGAAAGAGGTAAAAACTATTTTTAAAGCTATGCTAAAAAGTATTGGTTTGGAGACTTGTAATTAATTGCTAATATTGATTACAGTATAAAGTTTATTTTAAGGCATAGATCATCTCTACTTAATGAAAACTTTAAGATGTGGTGTTTCCCCACGAAATTTACTTAGGACTGACCAAACGCTCATTGCATCAGTTCACAGCTGTGAAAGTTATCATCCCTGATGGCTATTTCTGAAATCTCAAAGCACTTTCTAGCTCCTATATCCAGTTCAAGAAACAGTTTTCCTGATTCTGTTCTACTAACCTCAATTCAGTGTTTTAAATATTTTTTTGAGTTTTGAGATTCAATAAGCAGTGGGATAGAGGTTAGAAAATAGCCCGTTTCAGCCAGTAGTTGCTGCTCTTAATGTTACAATAGTCAGACGGCTTGCCGCCATGTCCCTGGAGGTATGAGGTCTGCAGGGTTTGGGGATTGTGAGTGTGTGTGTGTGTGTGTGTGTGTGTGTGTGTGTGTGTTTGGTTGTTTATACTGATGAATAGAAAATTTAGAAGAAATATGCTGTGCCATCTGGGTTACTTGTATCTGACAAAATGAGCATTTTAGGTGAGTCTCTGTTTTAGCTGAGTCTTCTCAAATGTCACAGATGCTTTGGGGATGACTCTTACTATTATAGGAGTCAAAACTAATTAAAATATTTCAAAACAAGATTACTTTTTAGAAGGGTAAACTTACAATAGTTTCTCTTGCTAAACGTTTAATAAGCAACGTTTAAAAATGCCTTTATGATCTTTTAATCTTCAAAATGCCTGTGATATGGTAACAGCAGCCTTCATTTTACTTTATGTTTTGTATTTAGTTTGCTATAGGAACCCCTTTATAGTGGCTTGTGATACACCTTAACGTTGGTAGCAATGCAAGGTCCTGTACTCTCATTTGGAAGTGTGGTGGCTCTTGGTCAAGCTGTTGGAAACTCTTAAGTCACAGAGGGTAGAGATGCTACCAGTGCTATAGAATGCAAGGGCTCCCACCACACTTATAACAGACCTGTTTCTCTGAGGTGCCTATTGCCAGCCCCTCCCCAGAAAGGCACTCACACTGGCTGCAGTGGAGAACGATTTAAGATGTTGCCACTATTTGAAACTGCAGAAAATGGAGTGATGATCTCTGAATTGTGTGCCCAGGAGTTGATGGCTGTGCAAACACTGAACGCTTGTGAGTGTTTCCTCTCACATGCATTTGGAGGAAAAATAAACTGAAGACAAATACTTGCTATATGATTTACCACTGGCTATTTTATTTCAATTGAAAATGCATTTTGTTTGTTTATTTAAATTGAGTTCTCAGCATGTGCCAGAGACTGATAGGTATTGGGGATGCATATGAGTATCATAAAGCTTGGCTGCAGTTTTCTCTAGCGGTTGCCAGACTTCAGCAGGCACCCCAGTCACCTGAAGGGCAGTATAACACAGAGTGCTGGGCCCCAGGCTCAGAAATTCTAACTCAGTAGTTCCAAGTGGGCACCTAAAATTTTTATTTTTTAAAATATTTTTTATTGATTTTAGAGAAGAAGGGAGAGGGAGAGAGAGATAGAAACATCAATGATGAGAGAGAATCATTTATTGGCTGCCTCTTGCACTGGGGATTGAGCCCACAATCTGGGCATGTGCCCTGACCAGGAATCAAAACGTGACTTTTTGGTTCATAGATGGACGTTCAATCACTGAGCTATACCAGCTGGGCTGGAATTTGCAATTTTAGCAAGTTTCTAGGTGAGGCTGATGCTGCTGGTTTGGGAGCACACTGCAGAACCACTGGTGTGGTGAAGTTATAGGCAGCTAAACAGCTGGCAGTGTTTAGCTGAACTCTGGGGACACCTTGTGTATGTGTGTGGGGTGTGTCAGGAACAGCTTTCCTTAAGAGATGCTCATGAGCCCTCTTGAAGGATGAGCAGGAGGTAACCAGTTTAAGTCATAGGGCACTGGAAACCCAGGCATATCTTCAGAACTGCTCAGAATAGGATGAGAGGACTGGTGATGACAGGGCAGTGGTAACAGTGCCAGATGTGCAGGCACAATGGGACTGGCTTGCTTTAAGCTTCCCAAAGCAATGCCCACTAACTGGAACTGCCAGGGCTCTGCTCAGGTCAGCGATCCACAAGCTGTGGCTGAACCATTGGTAAATGCTGAGAGGTAGCTCTGGGGTGGGTCTTGACAACTTCGGTTGATTTTGAGACTTTTGGGCTTATTTTTCAAATTGAGAAATCCCCTGAGGCTAGAGTGAATTCAGGGACCTTGGGTGTGTGTATCTCTTTTCACCTTAAGCCTTCTTGATTTAGGTAGTTTAATATCCTGATGTGGTAATCAGGCATAAGCACACCAACTAGAAAGCATTTCAAACAAATTTCTAAGTAAGTAATATTTAATGTATGTGCAACTTCTTAGTACTATGCTACTGAGAGATAATTGTGTCTGAATTTCAGTAATAAAGATCAGAGAAAGCCATAATTTTCCTTGTCCTCCCACTTTGAATTAAAAAAATTCACAGCCTTTTTTTTTTTTTTTTTTTTTTTTTTTTAACAAATTTACACAAGGTTACACACAGCCGGTAGAATTTGAGTTATACCACCCTTGAGCCTGATTCCTTAGACCTCCCCGCACACTGTGATAAGCAATTCAGAGCACTCACAGGACACCTTTCAGTAAACCCTCCTTTGTATTATCGAAAATCAGATGTAGGCCCCTGCTAGGGCCATTCTCCCAGCTTGCAAGATCCAGTAGTTTTTCACAAGTATTGTGTTATGTGAAATTCTTAATTTCTATGAGAATAGTAACATGGGTTAGAATAAGAACAGAAAGCATAGTGCCCACTTTGAGTTGTGAATTGCTATTGAATAATATACTAGGAATGGCCTTTCTTCTTGTGCCATCAGAGAATTCTGCCCGTCTTTACAGTCATACTCCGAGCCCACTCACCTACACGCATGCTGGCAGAGACCAACACAGAGCATGTGCCTGCCTCATGCCAGGTGCTCCCATTCACTTCCTTAGACCTACATCAGCCCTACAAAGCCAGTGGTGGTTTTCCCTGTGAAACTGGAATTTGAGCCTAGGCCTACCTGACGTGAGAGCCCACATTCCATCCTGCCAGCTGCAAATATGATGTGATTTAAAGGATTTATAGGCACAGTCATTTTCTACAGACTGGGGCCTGTTTCTATGGCTTGGGGTCTTCTGTCCAGTGGAGTCTGTTTCCCAAGGTGGCCTCTGACTTTGGCCATGATGATTTTTCTGGCGATATCTTGGGCTATACAAATCTTCTCTATTTTATGAGGCATGTTTCCAGGGGACCTTTTAGATGGACTGTTCATGAGTGTATTTAGTATGTTTTTTAATCATACCACTGGCCACATTATTCAGCTTTGAATCTTGGTTGTCTGACCTTGATCAAATGATTTCACTTTGAGCCTCAGTTTTTCCATTTGTAAAGTGGAGACATTTACATGTGTTAACTCAATTGATCCTCCCCATAACCCATGAAATAAGTGCTGTTGATTTCGTTACATAGCTGAGAAAACTAAAGCTCACAAACTTTACAGGACTAGTTCAAGGTTACTCTTAGCTGGTAAGGAGTACTAACAGCTGGGGGATTTGAATTCAGAACTGTGCACTTAACCAGTCTCCCCGACTGCATCCAGCCATGGAATTTATAAGTGGATGAATAATTGTAAAGAAATGAGACCTTGATAGTTCTGACTCATCTTTGTCCGCCATCCCTTTCTTTTCTTTTCAATTAGCATCATTGAAAAGAGGCAATAGTACTATTTGTCTGTATTGAAAGATTTTCCTTTTGTTCTTATCAAGAAAAATAATTTGGGCTTCTTCATCTTAAACTTAATGGCATAGTTATACAGTAATTTTTTTCTTCAAATATTTAACCGGCTTTATCACCATTTGTGCTTTCTTTTCTTTCATGCTTCTCTGTCCTTGTCCCTGGTTTTCTAGGTGACAGTGGGAGACATTGTGAAGGTCGTCAATGGGCAGTATCTTCCAGCAGACACGATCCTGCTATCCTCCAGGTCAGGGGTGCTATAGTGAGCACAGTTTTTGAAATAAATGTCAAGAACAATAAAATATAAAATGATATCTGCTGACTTCTCCAGCCACCCTTTCCCTTCCATCCAAAGTCACCAACTTTCTCTTTCTGGCCTATTCTTCAATTGCCTGTCATTCACTCTTTCCTGCCTTAATCCTAAATTATCTTTCTCTATCAATTCATTTACCCTCATGGCTATTCTGGGCTATTCCTTATTGTAGGAAGACATTCAAGATAATAGAGTGATCCCTCCAGTGACCTCCAGGTGGCAGCCTGTCTGAAACGTCACATCCCCTCTCCTGATGGGTACAGCCACAGGAGAGCCCAATGCCTTCCTTTATAAACTATTCAGAGAACTGCAGGCATTTTCTCAGCTTTGACATGACCAGCAGGTGGTGCTTCCTCCTCATTGTCCACATTTTGTTCCCTTGCTGCTCAAGTATCATTGCCATGTTTTCTAGGCAGTTCTGTACTAGAAAGTTATCATAACTTGTGGTGTAAAGAGTGAGCAACACAGTTCTTGACTTTTCTTTGGCTTGACACGATTATATATCAAAGAAAGAATACCAAAATTTGAATAAGAATAGACTTTTACTCTTGAATTCAAGATTAAAGGATATGATGTGAAAACTGAAAGTTCCTATATTTCTGTTGGAAATCATAGATGCTCACACAGTTTGATTTTCTTTGGTTATAGACAGTGTTTCTTTTATTGGATATGATCACACATGAGATTTTAAGTCTTAACATGAACTTTCTGGTTGAGAGCATAGGTTTAAAACTAGACCCTCTGCCACAGATGGTTAAAGCACCCTGTACATGGGACAGCATTCATGCTTGATCCTACTCATTGGTTACAAAGAAACTCTCCATAAAATGTGGGTCATTTGGTAGTTTGGGACCAGCATTTTGGTGTGGCCCTCAGGAAGCCTGGTTGGAATATGAGATTGTTTCTCTGAGCTGACCTCATGTTTTCAGGTGGTCATTAGTGTTTGGGTCTGTACTGTGTGCCAAGTAGCCCGCTGAGCACATTGTTCCATTTAATCTTCCCAGAAACCCTTGATATCCTTACTTTATACGGAAAAAGCAGAGAAGCAGAGAGATTGAACAACTGGTTGGAATCATGTAGCCAATAAAGGTTGTGCCAAGAGATTTTAACTTAGCTGGTGGGTGGCAGAGTCCATTCTCTTAGCTATTAACTGTGCCACTGAAACCCAAAGATTTGGAAGTGTTAGCTGTTCTGATTAATTTTATTCTTTGAGTTTTCTGTCTTTCAAATTAGGTGCTTTGATTAAAAAGTTGCCTGTGGGCAAAGTGGAATGTGCAGGGCAGAAAAGGCTTGCCAAGCCTGTGTCTTGGTTCCTGAGCCCTTTGAGCTATGATTTTCTTGAACAGATGGGTTTGTACTGGCTGTGTCAGGGGAGGCACTTTTGGTCAGGAGGAGCAGACCAGGTCTCAGACTGTCAGGGTCATGGAACATCACGTTTGCCCTAACCTGCCCCTCCCCTTCTCATTTACCCTCAGCTATTTCTGTTACTTGAGGTCAAGCAGCCTTTGTGGGACCCATAAGAGCAGACCACTTGTATCAGTGTTATAAAGATGAGTGTTTTTCTTTCTACTAATTACTACTACTAAAGTGGTTGCTTGTGCAGTTGACCCTTGAACAACACAGGTTTGAAGTGTGTGGGCCCACTTGCTTATTGAAGATTTTTCATTAGATACCTGTTTTGTTTTCCACCCGGGATTGGGAGTCTGAGGATGCACAGAGTCCACTGTATGCATTTGTCTATGGCCATTTTATATAGGGACTTGAATATCCACGGTTTTGGTATGGGGGTCCTGGAACCAATTATCTGTAGATACCAAGGGACAACTGGGAGTAGATAAATTTGGGGGGACTCCAAAGTTAAGCTTGTATTTTCTACTGTGCAGAAGAGTGGGTGTTGGTGCCCTAACTCCTAGGAATGTCCAAGGGTCATTTGTAACACTATTTTGAAGGGCTGGTCAGCAGACGTATAATAGTTCCTATAATAGACTTATTTTTAGCTATGGATTTGTGGAGGGGACCTTACTAAACTTTGGCTTCTTTTCTCTTTCCTTAGTGAACCTCAGGCAATGTGTTACGTTGAAACAGCTAATCTAGATGGGGAGACGAACCTTAAAATACGTCAGGTAAAGTTACCTTTTATGACTTGTGTTGTTATGGAGGCTCATATGGCAAATCTGATCCCCACAGGTACCAGTCAGTGCTTTTTCTAGAGGAAAAATGTGTTCTGTCACAAAAGGTTACGTCTTAACCCTAATGGAAACTGTGGGGAGAATATGCCTTTCAATGTAAAGGGAACTCCCTATAAGTGATGGCAGAGCTAAAAAAGTGGCTTCACCCAAGTTTGGGTCAGGAAGGGTATCGTGCGCTAGCTTAGATCTCACTGCACTTGCTGCCTGGTAGTGTCTGTGGGCAGAGAGAGCCTCTGCTGGGTTGAGCAGCGGGGTGGATGGGAGAGATGAAGTTAGACAAACGATGGTACTATCCTTTCCATTGTTTTAATTGAGATTCTAATTATAGAGAGTGAGTTATAAGACACAAACTTCAACTTTAAAGAAATATATTCTTACCATATTTTAAAATTCTAGAATGAAGAATAGTTTTTAACATAATAAACATTTGAAACATTTGACACTTAAATTTTATGCTGCATAAAGTTGAATTTGTTAATTCTGTCCACATATCTTTCTTTTCTACCTCAAATATTTGATTTAGACTTTTTTTTTTTTTCCTGTTTAAGGAAGAGTTACTGGGTCTAGTATCATACTGTATCAAAGGGGTGCTTTGTTCTATGTTTATGACTGGTATTAGAGTACAGCTAATTAAATATGCTTTTCTGGAAGTTGTTTGAGCATATGAACTGCTGCCAAACATGGATGTTTCCAGCACAATGGTGGAACCTTAACTTTGTGCTTCATTGATGCTTTTGTATTAGGCTTCTGTCTGTAAAAAAAAGAGAGAGAGAGAGAGAGAGAGAGAAAAGAAGAAAGAGAGAGAGAGAGAGAGAGAGAGAGAGAGAGAGAGAGAGAGAGAAGAGAAGAGAAGAGAAGAGAAGAGAAGAGAAGAGAAGAGAAGAGAGAAGAAAAACAAAGAAAGAAAAGGAAACAAAGCTACCTGTAAGGCCGATCTCATGGGCTGATAGCTTGATTTCTTTTTTTTTTTTTTTTTGATATATGTTATAGTATTCATCATTTTCTTTTTTCCCTTTTTTTTTTAAAAAAATATATTTTATTGAGTTTTTACAGAGAAGAAGGGAGAGGGATAGAGAGCTAGAAACGTCGATGAGAGAGAAACATCGACCAGCTGCCTCTTGCACACCCTCTACTGGGGATGTGCCCGCAACCAAGGTACATGCCCTTGACCGGAATCGAACCTGGGACTTTTCAGTTCGCAGACCGATGCTCTACCACTGAGCCAAACTGGTTTCGGCTATAATTTTCTTTAGATTAACAATGGGATGTGGAACGCTACCCGTAAATCTGAAAGACTGTAATCAATTTCCTCTTTTGATTGAACATTTTAGGGTTTGAATTGCACTGCTGATATGCAAACAAGGGAAATATTGATGAAGTTATCGGGAAATGTAGAATGTGAAGGGCCCAACCGGCATCTCTATGACTTTACTGGAAACTTGAATTTAGATGGAAAAAGGTATCACTTTCCCCCTCCTCCTCCTCCTCCTCCTCCTCCTCCTCCTCCTCCTCCTCCTCCTCCTCCTCCACCTCCTTCTCCTCCTTCTTCCTCTTTTTATTTTTTTAAAAATTTTTTATGGGACTAAGAACTACTGAAGCTTTGGAAAATATTAGTTTGTTTTCTGGCTTCATAATATCTCAAAACAGTGAGATTTCTTCATGTTTACTGTAGATATGAGAGACTGACCTTTTGAAACTGTTTTAATAGATTTTAAACCATTGCTTAAATTTAATGAAATAACTGATTTTTGCTAAGAAAAAAAATAGCCAGAGGGTCTGAAATGATGTTCAGAACACCTGCCTGTTCTTTCTGTGTGTACTACCTGCCAGGGAGGAAAGGTTTTGGCTGCATAAAATTATCCAGAAAAGCAGAAGGGAGGTGTCTGAGTGTATGAAATCTGATATTTATTAGAGAAGCTGTTTTATTTATTTATTTACTTATTTATTTATTTACTAGCATTCTTTAAAGTAGCATTTGTTTTTTGAAAGTTAAATGAAAGGAAGAACAATTAGTCTTCCTTTAAAACAGTCACTGTTGTCTATATTCTGTTGTCTTTGTTCTCTTGGCATTATTTTCTTGTTGGAGAATCATTTTTTGTCATTATGTTGGGGTGCAGTTTCTACCTTCTGCCCATCTTTAATCTGCATGCTTTTGTCACTGCTTCCCACCTATATATTTTGAAGAGGCCCATAGAGAAGAACCTGATCTGGTAATCAACCCAGAATAACCATAACATCCATATGTGCCTACTTTCTTGGTTTTCATTTAGTGTGCAGAGCCGGTCCACAGGCTCCCATTTTGAGTGTCTAAATTACCACTCAGTCTTTTATCTAATCATTAAGTTGTTCTTGACAAATTTAATATTATAGCTTCCCCCCCCCCCCCTATAATAGACTATAATATAAATTTCTGGTTATTTTAACATTTCTTTTCTCTCTCTCTTTTTTTTTTGGAGTTGAGTTTCATAACAAGATTATAAGAGATACAATTCACTCTAACATTTTATAGGCAAAAAAAAATATTTTTGTAGTGATGAATGGATAAGAGAAACCTTTCTTCTGGGTCTTCTTCTTCTTCTTCTTCTTCTTCTTCTTCTTCTTCTTCTTCTCTCTCTCTCTCTCTCTCTCTCTTCTCTCTCTCTCTCTCTCTCTCCCTCCCTCCCTCCCTCCCTCTCTCCCTCCCTCCCTTCCTCCCTTCCTCCCTTCCTCTCCTCCCTTCCTCTCTCTCTCTCTCTCTCTCTCTCTCTCTCTCTCTCTCTCTCTCTCTCTCTCTCTCTCTCTCTCTCTCTCTCTCTCTCTCTCTCTCTCTCTCTTTTGTAGGTTAAGCCAATGGTAACCTTTATTGTCTCAGTGAAATAGTTCAAATTTGAGTAAAGAAAACATTTGATTATCATGGATTTATGTTTAAGAGGACAGCTCATGCTCATTTGTCAGACTACCATTGAATACAAATGCTGTTTCCTATTTTTAGCTCTGTTTCCCTTGGGCCTGACCAGATCTTATTAAGAGGTACACAGCTTCGAAACACTCAGTGGGTCTTTGGCATAGTTGTTTACACTGGACATGACACCAAACTCATGCAGGTAAAACATTCTTTGTTGAAAAACATGCTGATTTTAGTCTTTTTTTTTTTTTTTTAATTGCTGTTTTTATGGAAAAAAAAAAGAGTAGAAATGCAGATGTTGTATTTAGGAAGCTTGAGTTTGTGAGCTTAAATTTTGAAAGGAAGTGCCTTTATTTTGTTTTTTTTAGGTAGTTTCTCATAGATTTCTGTTAGTATATCATACTAGAGGCCCATACACTAGAGGTCTGTCCCTCAGCCCAGCCTGCACCCTTTCCAATCTGGGACATCCCTCTCACAATCCGAGACTGCTGGCTCCCAACCTGATTGCCTGCCTGATTGCCCCTAACCATTTCTGCCTGCCAGCATGATCAACCCTAACTATTCCCCTGCCAGCCTAATCGATGCTTAACTGCTCCCCTGCCGACCAGATCGACCAGTCTTCCATGCAGGCCTGGTCACCCCCAACTTCCCTCCCCTGCTGGCCATCTTGTGGTGGCCATCTTGTGATGACTTGAGGGTGGCCATCTTATGATGACATGATGGCTTTTATTAGTATAGATATTTGTTACCCCCTGCTTGAAATATCAATGTTTTTGTTTTCTGGATTTAGGGGACAATCAGCTTTGGACCTAAGCAGGGACTTGTTCTCTCCTTATTTCTCTCACTACTTCTGCTCCTCACCACCATTAATTAGGATTGTATAGTAAATTGTCTTATTTAATTGAATTCATTAATTTAAATCAGTTATTTTTGAACTAATTTTTATACTTCATATAGCAAAAATATGATACTAGATGTCCTTCCGGACGTTCTTCCTTCTGGACAAAGCTGCGGTGGCAGGGACAAGGCAGAGGCAGCAGAGGCCACTGGCCATGGCCACGGTGGGTGGGGCCGGGGCCCAGGCCCTTGCACGAATTTCATGCATTGGGCCTGTATTTAGGATATAGATATCATTGTAGGGGTCATTATTCTACCTACCACATTTACCTTCAGAAAATTTTTAATAAAACGACTTTAGGTGCATAACTGTCTAGTGCAAATAGTTCTACTGAGTTTTCCACTGCTGAGAAGTATAGTTCCAAAATTTCCACCTGATGTGCAGTGGTCCTTGAATCTGGCTTTAATGAATATGTCTAAACTCACTTCCCAACACTGGCCTCTGTTTTAGCTGTGCTGCCTTCTCCAGCAGCAGTGAGAAACCCAACTATTACATTTACAGATGTTGAGTTAATTTTATGCTTTTGTTTTATCTTCCTGTTTATATTCTGTTTATGATTCAGGTCTCCATTGAAATTTCTTCTGGCTATTAGAGCTTTCCTGACTTTTCCTGCTTGTTTCTTCTTCAATTTTCCAAATGAATTATCTGCCCCTCCATTTATTTTGACACCTTTTGATGTTCTATTTTACATTATTGATATGTATGTGTTTGTATGTCTTTTTCTCAATTAAATATGTACTTTCACATTTTATCTTTGCCTATTAATTATAGAGCTATGTTATTACTTTGAAAATTCCAAAGTTTTGCAATATCAAATATTTAAGTTTCTCTTGAATTAACAATATTCTGATTACTTTAAATTTGACTGAAATAAGTAGAGTTGAAATGTGTTCTTGAAAATGATAGAATGTGTCTTTTGTCATCTTTATTTAAAACAGACTTATATGCATGCATATAAGCAAATCCAATGGACCCAGACAGTGGGGGGGTGAGGGCCTGTGCTGGGGGGCAGGAGTGGGTGGGGAGAGGTCATGGGGGAAAAAGGAGACATTGTAATACTTTCAATAATAAAGGATTTAAATCAGTTTTTTTTTCAAACAAACACCACCTAAAAGCAAAATAAATAAATAAATAAATAAATAAATAAATAAATAAAAAATAAAACTTGCTGCTGATTCAGGAATATGGTACATTTTAAGAATTTCATTGGTTATTTGGCAAAAATATAGTCTTTTACTTTTTATGAGTAGAATTTGTATAACTTACCTCCCTTTCTCCCCAATCCTTGCCCCTGAGTGTGTTCTGTGATCCTCACGGACTTTAAATGCTGTTGTACAGAATTCCACCAAAGCTCCTCTCAAGAGATCGAATGTTGAGAAAGTGACCAATGTGCAGATTCTGGTGTTGTTTGGCATCCTGTTGGTCATGGCCTTGGTGAGCTCAGCAGGGGCCCTGTACTGGAATGGGTCTCAAGGTGGAAGAAACTGGTACATCAAGAAGTTGGGTAAGTGTTGGGATGGATTGCTTGTTGAAATAGGACAAAACGTTTTTGGAAATATTTCTAAGCACATGTGTGGTGGCCGTGCCATCTTTTTCTGCTCTTTGGCTACTCTGTATAATGGTAGCTTTTCAAGGAGAATTGAAAGATTGGGAGTCATGTAATGAAGTGAAGAGGGATGCATTTGGGGATTGTTTTATATTCAAATGATTATTTTTAACTATTTTTTTAAAGTTATTTTCTTAGGGTTGTTCTAGGGATTATAATGTATGCCTTAATTTATTAGCATCTACTTCAGATTAGTACTAATATAATTTCAGTACATTATAGAAAATTTCCTTTAATATATAATAAATTTGTCTCCTCCCCTGCATTATGCTATTTTTGTCATATATTGCATCTTCCTATCAACCCAATTACGGTGTTGTAATTACTGACTTATATAATCTTGTACCTTTTAAAGAAGCAGAAAGCAATAAAGGAAATAAACTTATGCATTTATTTTACATTCACCTACTTACTTCATTTCTCCCTGTGGATTTGAGTTATCAGCTTTTGTCATTTCTTTGCTTCATGTAGCTTCATTCTCTCCTCACTCCTCTGTGCTCTCATATATATTACATCTTTATAAAAAAGTCCAACAATGTAATTTTATATAATGATGTTTTGCCATCATGTTTTTAAATCCAAAAGAAAGGATAAAAATATGTAACTATATTGTCTTTTTCTAATTATTGTCTAAAGTTTTACATATGTCTCCTTTTTCCCCAATTGACTTCCCCTCCCCCAGCCATTCCCACTCTAAGCAAGCTCCCACCACCCCATTGTCTGTGTCCATTGGTTATGCTAATATGCATGCATACAAGTCCTTTGGTTGCTCTCTAATCTCCACCCCCCTGCCATTTGTCTTTGGATCTATTCAAGTTAATCAAATTATGTTGATCATTATAACCCACATATGAGTGAGATTATATGATATTTTTCTTTCTTCTACTGGCTTATTTTTCTTAGCATAATGTTCTCCAGCTCCATCCATGCTGTTGCAAATGGTAAAAGTTCCTTCTTTTTTATAGTGGCATAGTATTCCATTGTGTAGATGTACCACAGTTTTTTAATCCACTCATCTGCTGATGGGCACTTAGGCTTCTTTCCAAATCTTAGCTATGGTGAATTGTGCTGCTATGAGCATAGGGGTGTATATATCCTTTCTGATTGGTTTTTCTAGGTTTTTTTTGGATATAGTCCTAGAAGTGGGATTATTGGGTCAAATGGAAGTTCCTTTTTTAACTTTTTGAGGAAACTCCATACTCTCTTCCACAGTGGCTGCACCAGTCTGCATTCCCACCAGCAGTTGCAAGAGGGTTCCCTTTTCTCCACATCCACATGCTTTCTGCCTTTTATTCTAAAACACGAAAATTAAACTGTTTTCTGCTGGGCAGGATGCAAAGGTGATTTCCCAGTTTCTTGTCCAGGTGGATTCGAAGAATGAAGCCATGAACAAAAGGTGGTGTAGGAAAGGTGGAAATTTAATGGGAAACAAGCACAGATTCTCTTGTGGGGAGGGAGAGAGAGACCCACTAAGTCCCTCTTTCCTAAGGTTTATATTCCCCCCTGATTGGTCACTATAACAGCTTCAGAGCTCAAACCCCATGTGGGATCACCTTCTTTTTCTCCCTTTCGTTTTTCTACTCCCTGTGGCTTTCACATTTATTCTGTGAATGAGTGGCTTTCTCTCCATTTATTCTGTAAATGTATGCCTTTTGGCAGCTCCCAGTCCCCTTATTCTGTAAATGTATGCCTTTTGGCAGCTCCCAGTCCCCTTATTTTGTGAATGTATGCCTTTTGGCAGCTCTAAGCCCCCAGCTTTGCAGCTCTGCTGTTCTCTTCCATGGACATCTTAATTCCTAAAACTCCCCAAACCTGCCTATTTTATCCCTAAAAATTCCTTTCAATTCTCATAGTAAAGTCTGAGTAGCTCTGTTAAATGCAATAAAACTTCATATTTGCACAGTTACTGATGGAGTTTTGACTCAGTTCAAAGAACTCCCCCTTTTGATATGTACAGAACTTGTCCCTATTTTCCCTCTCCTGGTCCTTCCTCCTACCCAAGCTGATCCTGACACTGCTTTGGGTTTCATCTCTTAGGGGTCTTGTTACATCAAGACATTCCTACTCTTATCTTTAACCTGTTAACCGGGGAGTTCTCTTTTTAATTAGGCAACCTGTAATGGGTGTGTACTCTTTCACTAGGACGTGTCAGTACGTCACACCTGGAGGACGTAATTTCATATTATTATTATTTATACTTAATTAAAATAAATTATATATTTTTTTGTTTATTTATATATAAAGCACAAAGGGAAATACAAAATTACAAAAAAATAGAAAAGAATACCAACAAAAAAATGGAAACATCGAATTAAAAAATTATAAATTTTACAAAGAATTATAAAGATTACAAAAAAATATATACCGTCCCTCTCAGGGCGCAGCATATATTTCCAGGACGTATTTATACGTCCTACCCGTTCCCAGTATTGTTTACGTTTGACATATTTATAGGTCCCGCTCAGTTAACAGGTTAATAAGTGGACTCAAAGCTTCTGCCTACCTCTCTCTCTTCACCTGTTTTCCCTATTCACACTCCACTCCCCCCACCCTCATTTTACCAATTCTTTGGCGTGTCCCAAAGATAATCATACCTTAATGAGTTGCAGATATTCCTTACAACCATTTAAAATGCCTAGCCTCTTTTTTTAAAAAAACATTTTGTTGTTAGCTGTCTGCTCTCTGTCCTCCAAAACTTGACTGAAGTCTCTATTCTTCTGGAAGATCTTCAGTTGACTATATCTTCAAATTAAAAAAATCTCTTGCCGAAACCGGTTTGGCTCAGTAGATAGAGCATTGGCCTGTGGACTGGGAGGTCCCAGGTTCGATTCTGGTCAAGGGCATGTACCTTGGTTACAGGCACATCCCAAGTAGGGGGTGTGCAAGAGGCTGCTGATTGGTGATTCTCTCTCATCGATGTTTCTAACTCTCTGTCCCTCTCTCTTCCTCTCTGTAAAAAATCAATAAAATATATTTTAAAAAAATCTCCTGTTCTCACTTCTGCAATGTCCTATGAATATCTCTTTAACAAATGTAACCTGATTCCAGTCACATTGGGGAGCATGCCTGCTTTTGTTTACTCTCTTACCCACAACCTCCCATTAGAATCCAGTTCTTTATTGAAGAGGACTGTGCATTTTTTTTATTTATTTATTTATTTATTTATTTATTTATTTATTTATTTAATATTTACAGAGAGGAAGAGAGAGGGATAGAGAGTTAGAAACATCGATGAGAGAGAATAATTGATCAGCTGCCTCTTGCACACCCCCTACTGGAAATGTGTCCCCAACCAAATTACATGCCCTTGACCGGAATCGAACCCAGGACCTTTCAGTCCGCAGGCCAATGCTCTATTCACTGAGCCAAACCGATTTTGGCAGGACTATATATTAGTAGCCTTTGTATTCACAGTTGGTGGCATGTAGTAGGTGCTCAATAACCATTTTAACTCCAATGTCTAAATGTATACATAATCCAATAAATTTTTTTGGTGAGCATCTTTTAGAGAAATTTCAAAATAATAAAATAAAAGGAAACTTAGTGGAAACTAACAGATGTTCTGGTTTTCTTCCACAGAGACAAGCTCAGATAATTTTGGATATAACTTGTTGACATTCATCATCTTGTACAACAACCTTATCCCTATCAGTTTGCTGGTGACTCTTGAGGTTGTGAAATATACTCAAGCCCTTTTTATAAACTGGGTGAGTATCACAGCAGAGTGTAAAGTTGAGCTACTATAGAAATGCCAACCACTCCTTTCTAATGCTCTTTCAGAACCTTAGCCATTCACTTGAGCTTCCAGAAAAGAATAATATAACTAACTAGTTTATGATTATGATTTGGCCAGGGATCTCTGGCAAAGGTGTCCCTGAGCCAGTGATAGCAGTGACTAGTTAGTTACCTAACACCTCAGCCCCCCGATCTATAAAATGGGCTTGGGGCATCTGAACCTATTCAAAGGGTTCTTACAAGGATTCAGTGAGAAAATGGAGGCAGAGTGCTTAACAGATGCTTGTCTTCTGGGTGAGCAGGAATGAAGTGGCTATAACTGTTTATGTTTGAAGTTTCACTAGTGCTGAGGAAAGACCTCTTAGTTGTTTCCATATCAGTATTTATTAAATATAAAAATGCATGGTGACAGTAAATAAACTTGAATTCCATTGTTAAGAATGAAAGTGGAAGTATTTATTTATTTATTTTTGTTAATTATCACTGGAGGATATTTTTCCATTGATTTTTAGAGAGAGTGGAGAAGAGGGGGAGAGACAGAGAGAGAAACATCAATGTGAGAGAGACACATCAATTGGTTGCCTCCTGAATGCATCCTGACCAGGGCAAGGGATCGGACCTGCAACTGAGATACGTTGCCCTTGCCCGGAATCTAACCTGGGAACCTTCAGTCCATGGGAGACATGGGCCGCCGCTCTATCCAATAAGCCACACCAGCTAGGGCAGAGGTGGAATTTTTAAGGAACTGTCATTGACATTAAGCTCTTGACTTCAGCAGCCTGTATATGTAGCTCAGGTTTCATGGATATTTTTTAAATTTTCATTATTATTCTTTAAAATTTTATTAAATTTACTGGAGTGACATTGGTTAATAAAATTATATAGTTTCAAGTGTACAAGTCTATAACACACATCATCTATATATTGCATTGTGTGCCTACCATTCAAAGTCAAGTCTCCTTCTGTCACCAGATATTAGAAAAGGGTAGAGGGGGTTATGTACATTTTTATTTGATCCTCATAATAATCCTGTAAATTGGGTATTAGCTGAGCTTAGAATATGAGTTAATCTAGGTCATGAAATTCTCATTTTGAAAACAAATCTTCTGTATATAAATACCATATTTTCTCATGGTATCACAGTGCTTCTCTATAATAACTGCCACTGCATTTTTAACCCAAAATTAAAAGTTAGCATTTATAGTGTCTATAAATGAAGGATTAATGTTATATAGTTTCTGAAAAGCCCCTTCTCTCTCTCTCTCTCTCAGGACACAGATATGTATTATATCGAAAATGACACTCCTGCTATGGCCAGGACGTCAAACCTTAATGAAGAGCTTGGTCAGGTGAGAACCTCTTTGGGAACTTTGGTATTGGTGACATGAGTATGAGGGGAGACTGGTGTTATAAGAACCATGGAGAGATTTTTGCAAAATTACTTCCATATGAATGTGGTTTTGACATCTGAAGAGCTATCTAGTATTTGAAAGTATTATGAAATATAAGTGTTAATCAGTTTTGAATTGCATTTTTGAGCTTGTGTATATCTTATCACTTAGGAGGGACCTGCACAAAATTTAGTACAAAAATACAGTACAATATTATGTTGGACTATTAAAATTGTTAGGAACAAATGGTAGAGAAAACAATGATTAAGATTCTCAGTATTGTTTAACCCTACACAACATGTAGGTATTTTTTTTCTTCATAATTGGAGATTCATTTATTCTTTTTTATTGATTAAGGTATTACATATGTGTCCTTATCCTCCCATTGCCCCCCCTCACCCTCCAGTCATGCCCTTACCCCCATGTTGTCTGTGTTCATTGGTTGTATAGTACTCAGTATATGCCATTGAACTGGACCTAAATAACTAAAGGATTGAATGTGCTCAAGAAGCACTAGTATGAAATTATACATCCTTATTGGGTGCATGGGGAAGTAATTTTACTTTATTTTTCAATTACAGTTCACATTTAATATTATATTAATTTCTGGTGTACAACATAGTGATTAGACATATATATATAACTTACAAAGTGATCAATCTGCTCAATCTAGGATTCATCTGATACCATCCACATAGTTATAATATTATTCACTGTATTCCCTATGCTAAACTTAGATCCCCATTACTATTTTATAACTGCCAATTGGTACTTCTTAATTCCTTCACCTTTTTTCACCCATCCACCCACCCACCTCCCATCTGGCAACCACCGATTTGTTCTCTGTATTTAAGAGTTTGTTTCTGTTTCATTTGTTCATTTATTTTTTAGATTTCACATTTAAGTGGAATCCACATATGATGTTTGTTTTTCTTTCTCTGACTGATTTCACTAAGCATAATAGCCTCTAGGTCCATCCAGGCTGTCACAAATGGAAAGAAGAATTATAAGATATTATTTTTATGGCTGATATTCCAATGTATACTATATTCCAATGTAATATTCCAATGTATACTAGTATGTGTACCACTTCTTTTCTTTTATTTATAAAAGGAAATTTATTTAAAATATATACCTTTCTCTAGGTACAAGTCTTAAAGTTAGATTACTGTATTTAATTTGTTTTATTACTATAGTACTCAGATATATTGTGTTATACATGTTAATTATATCCATGAATAGACCCATCACTAATTAAAATGTCTGCATATGCAGGTAATATATCTCTATATTTTATATTTTCTTACATTCAGATAAAATCAGATTTTCTTAAAATAATTTTAAAAAATAATTTGATTACTTTGGTCTAGCCTCAGGAATTAAATGATCAGTTTTTAAATGTCTGTATCTTCTTTTTTTCTTTATTGATTAAGGTATTACATATGTGACCTTACCCTCCCATGGTTTCTCCTACCCTCCCCCCCACTATGTACCACTTCTTTTATTCATTTGTCTATTGCTTAGGTTGCTTCCATATCTTGGCTATTGTAAATAAAGCTGCATGAACGTTAGGGTGCAGATATGTTTTTGAGTTAGTTTTGGAAGTCTTCAGATAAATACCTAAGTGGAATTGTATGGTGAAGTAGTTTTGAATTGGAACTTTTAAGTTAAAATTCAGTAGGCAAAGTGATAGCAAATCTTGATAATTTCTTATAAATCTTCATTTTTTAATATTTTAATTTAATCTTTAAAAACAAGGCAGAAATACCTTATTAGAAGACTGATTCTAATAAAACTTACTTATAAAGTATTAATTATCTATATTATACTAATTTTATATTTCTATATAATTTTATATTTATTTAGGAGCATTAATCATCTTTCTGAAAAAAAATCTTTCTTAAATGCCTTTTATTGCTTTAAAAATAGCAATATTGTATAATTAAGAAAAAGTACAGAGTGAAATTCATGTTATTCACCCTCTTTTACAAAACAGTAACACATGACTTCCCTTTAGGGTCCCTGGAGTACATCCAGCACCCAGCAACAGTGTGAACACTCTTTAGAAACATATAAGGGCCCTGGTGGGGTAGCTCAGTTGGTTGAGCATTGTCCTGATTTGCCAGGGTTGTGGATTCTATCCCTGGTCAGGGCATATATAAGAAACAACCAATCCATAAGCTGAAGAACAAAAACAGACCCGGTGACAGGGAAGCATTGATCAGAATGTCAAACCTCAGAGGGAAGGCAGGGGAGGTGGAGGAAAGGGGAAGAGATCAACCATAGGACTTGTATGCCTGCATATAAGCCTAACCAATGATCATGGACAACAGAGGGGTAGGAACATACGTGGGGAGGGGTTTGGGATAGAAATAAGGGGATGAGGACAATTATGTGATACCATAACCAATAAAGAAATTAAAAAAAAAGATAAAGAGCAATAATGACCTACAATTTAGTCTCTGAACTTGTAATCACTTATGCAAAACAACAATAAAAACAGAAATAATAATCTTACAAACTCTGGGCAATGCCTATAATTATTTTTGTTCCCTGTACTAAATTATATGTACTCAAATTTTGTTACTTAAATTACTCCATGAATATTCAACTAGAAAACAAAAATACAATGATTCTTAAAAAAAAAAAAAAGAACCAATCCTCCTATCTAATAAAAGAGTAATTTGCAAATTAACCACCACTCTGCTACACTCAAAGCCACGCCCACAAGCCAATCAAGAGCAAATATGCAAATTAACCCAACCAAGATGGCTTCGATCACAGAGAGCATGAGGGAGGCTTGGGTTTCCCCGGCCATGGAGGAAGCTAAGCTTTCTGTACACCCTGGCTGTACCAGGCCTTTGCTTAAGGCTACAAAGTTTCAATTATAGAAGATACATAAATCTTAGCAAAAGTGGCTGCCACCATGGAGTGAGCAGAAGGCTTGGCTCCACTCCAGACTACAAAGTTTTAATTGTAGAAGATAAATAAATCCCAGATACCAGGGCCTCCACTTTGGTGGCCTGGGGGCATGGCTAGCCTTCAAACCACCACAGGCCCCTCACCCAGGCTGCCCTACACCCCAAGGGAACCCCTACCCTGACCCAGGACACCCTTCAGGGCAAATTAGCTGGCCTCCACCCATGCATCAGGCCTCTATCCTATCTAATAAAAGTATAATATGCAGATTGACCATCACACCAAAACACACAAGATGACTGCTCCATGTGATCAAAGATCCTGTCCTCATGTGGACACAAGATGGACACCACAAGATGACCAGCAGGGGAGAGCAGTTGGGAGGTCAGGCCTGTAAAAGAGGGCAGTTGGTGGGTGATCAAGCCTGCAGGGGAAGGCAGTTAGGGGTGACCAGGCTGGCAGAGGAGGGAAGTTGGGGAAAAACAGGCTGGCAGGGGAGGAGTTAAACATCAATCAGGCTGGCATGGGAGTGGTTAGGTGGTGATCAGACTGGCAGGCAGAAGTGGTTAGGGGCAATCAGGAAGGCAGGCAGGCAAGCAATTGGGAGCCAGCAGTCCTGGATTGTGAGAGAGATATCCGACTGCCTGTTTAGGCCCAATCCCAGTGGGCAGTTGGACATCCCTTGATGGGTCCCAGATTGGAGAAGGTACAGGCTGGGTTGAGAGACACCCCCTACCGCATGCATGAATTTCATGCACCAGGCCTCTAGTGTGTACATAAATAAATAGAACAACAAATATCTCTCTCTCTCTCTCTCTCTCTCTCTCTCTCTCTCTCTCTCTCTCTCTCTCTCCCACACACACACACCTAAACATTAATTTTATATTATGTAACAGTGACTGAGAAGCATGGTGTTTGTTCTATACTGCTCAGTATATGCCTTCTTAACCCAGCTAAGAGACAGTCTTAAAAAGAGATATTTCAAGGTTGCCAAAGTCTGAGCTTGTTGTCTTGACATGTTGGACATTAGGAGAGAATACCGTATGAGATCATGTGAATATCTTGAAGAATTAGAAGTGTCTTTGAGATGCCTTGTGGTAGAACTTAATATGCTTATAGATTTATAATGGCTCCAGGGCTGTTACTAAGTCTCTTTTGTGCATTTCCACACAATTGAACTCTATAATTAGCTATTGAAAAAGGTTTTTAAATGGTCTAAGCATTAGAATATATTAATTTAATAATATTTGATTATAATTGTTATATATAATATCTATGCAATTCTAAAATATATTTGGAAGGAAATTTACTTTTGAAAATATATACAGCTTTTAAAAAACATAGAATAAACACTTTATTTATTGGTTTTTGCATCTTATATTACTAGAAGCCCAATGCATAAATATTCATGCCAGAATGGGCCTTCCTTTCCCTGGCTGCATGCATCACCTTCGCTCTGGCCAGAGCTGCTGCTCAGAGGCCCAGAGCGGCCAGTGGTGGTGAGGTACGCCTGCATTGTCATCATGGCGGCAATGCAAGCATCCTGCCCCTCTGCAGCCACTCAGTGCGTGTGTATGCAAATTAACCCACCATCTTTGTTGGGTTAATTTGCATACTCACTCCTGATTGGCTGGTGGGTGTCACAAATTAACATGTTGCTATTTTATTAGGTGGATTGATGTATGTGTTCCTCTTATTCTTTGATTTAGGTTAAATACCTGTTTTCTGACAAAACTGGAACTCTTACATGCAATATTATGAACTTCAAGAAGTGCAGCATTGCTGGAGTAACCTATGGGTAAGTGTGTTTATTACTTAATTGAAAAACTGATTTGATACAACAAAATAAGTTTATTTTTATCTGTTTAGTCAAATATTTTGACTTTCTGAGAGTTATAAGCTTTTAGTGTCAAACCTCCAAAAAATCCTTCCCAAGATCAATGTCAAGGAGCTAAGGTTATCATTTATTTTTTTTCTAGGAATTTTATAGTTTTACTAGAGGCCCAGTGTATGAAAATTCATGCACTGGAGGGGGGGGTCCCTCAGCCCAGCCTGCCCCCTCTCACAGTCCAGGAGCCCTCAGGGGCAGGAGGCAACCTGGCAATTAGGGGAAGGTCCCCGCCTCCCACACCTCTGCTGCTGCCACTACCGGCAGTGCAAGCCTCAGCCGGCCCTGGTTACCTGAGCCTTAGGTGGCCCTGGGCAGCTGGGCAGTTGCCATTCGAGGTTTACCTGCACCTCAGGCTGTCCCTGGGTGGCTGGGAAGCCACCATCCAAGGCAAAATAGCAGGCTGAGTTAAAGCTAAATATGAATGTGTAAGACGTCTACATCAGCTGAGGGGCTGGGGGACTGGGGGACTCTGAAGGTAGGAGCATGGAGCATCTGGACCTGCCACCCTAGTGGGGCTGAGGGGACTGGATGCCGCCATCTTGTGGTTGTGGGTTCTGCCATATTTGAGGGTGTGACAGTAAATTAGTATATTCCCTCCTTCCCTCCTTATTGGCTGTGGGCCATCTTTGTGAGGGTGTGGAGGTAAATGAACATATTCTCTCTTTATTAGATAGGACTAGAGGCCCAGTGTATGAAATTTGTGCACGGGAGGGGCGGGGGGAGGAGGAAAGGTGTGTCACTCCGCCCAGCCTGCACCCTCTCCAATCTGGGACCCCTTGGGGGATCCCTGTAGAATTGAGCCTAAACCGGCAGTTGGACATCCCTCTCACAATCCAGGACTGCTGGCTCCCAACCACTCACCTGCCTGCCTACCTGATTGCCCATAACTGCTTCTGTTAGCCAGCCTGATCATACCCTAACCACTCCCCTGCCAGCCTGATTGACACCTAATTGCTCCCCTGTGGGCCCAATTGCCCCAATAGCACTCCCCTGCCGGCCCAGTTGCCCCCAACTGCCATCCTCTGCCAGCCTGGTTGCACTCCCCTGCTGGCCTGAGGGTCCCAACTGCCCTCCTCTGCAGACCTGGTCCCCCACAACTGCCCTCCCTTGCCAGTCATCTTGTGGCAGCCATTTTGTGACCACATGAGGGCGTCCATTTTTTACCACATGGGGGTGGCTATCTTGTGTGAGGGTGTGATAGTCAATTTGCATATTACCTCTTTATTACATAGGATATGATTTCAGTCTTCTTAAATTTATTAAGACTTGTTTTTTGGCCTAATATGTGATATATTTTGGAGAATGTTCTATGTGTAAATGCCTGTCGTTTGCTCATAGTTTGGGAATCACTCTATTTTTTTTCTCTCTGGCAGTCATTTTCCAGAACTGACACGAGAGCAATCCTCAGATGATTTCTGGTAAGTATATTCTAGCATGTATTGATTCTTTAGTGGGAACAATTCTATATTTTCATGTCTTACCTGAATAGTTAGTAATTAAAAATTGCATGTTTGTTATTTCAAGAGAAAACCAGAATAAAATTTAAGTGTGAATATGATTTTCAAAGTACAGTGATACTAATAGGTTTTAACAAAAAATAGTAAGTACTTGGTTCAATACTTACCACTCACTTTCCACCTCCTATTATAATGTCTTCAAGGTTGTAGTGTACATGTTATATAATAGGAATTAGAATTTTATTCATTTTAAAGGCTGATTAATGTTTCTTTGCATGTATATACATATTTTGTTTATCTGTTTATCTGTTGATGGGCATTTGAGGTATTTTCACCTTTTGACTAATGTTAATAATGCTGTTATGAACATTGGTACAAAGTGGATCTCTGCTTTCAAATTATTTTGGGTATTTACATAAAAGTGAGATTGCTGGATCATGTGCTTATTCTATATTTAAATTTTTAAGGAACCATCAAACTGTGTTTCATAGTAATTCTCCCATTTTACACTCCTGTCAGTAATGCACAATTTTTCTACATCTTTGAACCACTTGTTAATGAATGAAATAATTAAAAAAATATAACAATATTCCAATGAGTATAAAGTGGTATCTCATTGTAGTATTGATTTACGTTTCCCTTAGGACTAGTGATGTTGTTTGCTCATGTTTTAAGACAAAACTGATCAGTAGGGCTGCGTGTATATGTGTGGGAGGCGGGAACAGTGTGCTTGATGACAAACTGGCTTCCCTGTGGGATGACCAGTCAGGTCCTATTATTTTATTGGAGGGTCCCTGGTTGTTAATGTGTGGGCCTTTCTTGTGAGCTGATCAGTCTTCTTCTCATGAGAAGAATACTTTCGTTTTTGCCAAGGGTTGTAAATGTGACTGCAGTTGTTATGGGAGCTGAGTGGAAGCAGAGGGTTGGTGATTATATCTTTCAGTGTATATCAGATTTCACTTGAAACTCCTGTTTTGGGGGGATGCCCTATCCTACTTGTCTGTGTGTGCAATGTCCATGAGTCCAGGGTTACTCTAATTTTTTAGAAAAGATTCTTTATTATTTAGCATTACATATAGTATTACATATGTCTCCTTTCCCATCATTGACGTCTCTCTGGCCACCCCTACCCACCAGCATATGCCCTTACCCCCTAGTGTCTGTGTCCATTGGTTATGTTTATATGCATGCATGAAAGTCCTTTGCTTGATCTCTTACCTCCCTCCCCTTCCCTGTCCCCTTCCTTTCCTCTGAAATTTGTCTGTTCGATGCTTCTCTGTCTCTGGATCTGTTTGTGTTCATCAGTCCATGTTGTTCACTATATTCCACAAATGAGTGAGATCATGTGATATTTATCTTTCTCCAACTGACTTATTTCACTTAGCATAATGCTCTCTAGGTCCATCCATGCTGTTGCAAATGGTAAGAGTTCTTTCTTTTTTTACAGCAGTGTCATATTCCGTTGTGTAGATGTACCACAGGTTTTTAATCCACTCATCTGCTGATGGGCACTTAGGCTGTTTCCAAATCTTAGCCATTGTAAATTATGCTGCTATGAACACAGGGGATCATATGTCCTTTATAATTGGTGTTCAAGGCTATTCTAATTTAACCTCTCTAAAGGATAAACTTTCCATTTCTTTCTGGATGCAGAAGGTTTAGCTGCCTGGCTACATGGGATGAGAGAGGGTTCTTGCAGGATGAAACTTGCTTAGGTGGATTTGGAACCAGTTTTGTTTCCATCTTCCCTTTATCTCTTGCTGCAGGTTCCTTAGCTTTCACACAGTTTTTCTGGGGGCATCAGCTTGCATTTTAGGTGTTTCCCTTTGCAAGCTATTGGTTTCTGTTTTCTCTGCAGTATTAAATTCTGGTATCTATACAGAATTTATATTGACATCAACTGTGCTGTTGTCTCTTATTGTCTTGAAGTAAAGGTTTCAGGAAGGAGTAGAGATGCATAAATATAATTGGCACATCACATTTTTTTTTTTAGTGAATTAGGACAGAGCCATAATATTAGGTTTCCTTTCTCATAATTATCTGCCTCCTTCTTTCTCCTATATCTGAGCCCTGGCCATCAGTGGTTGCATAGATACAATGCAGTAATTCCTACATTTTTTCCTGGGTTGAGCAGGCAGCTCTTACAAGTTTTCCCTGGTAGAAGTTATACAGAGACCAACCTAAATGACAAAGTCAGATGTTGGTTTTTATCTCTGTTTCTTCTCCTTGTAACTATGTTGCTGTTTATAAAATCTTATAAAAATTATAAAATATTTTGTAGTACTGTTAAAGATTTCCTGTTAAGAATTGAAATAATATATAGTATTCTAAATCTTTAAAAGTTTAAATCTGTGGGCTTTTTAGGTGCGGTTCTTCTTGAAGAGAGTCTTGCTGCCTTTAAATTATCTTAAAGGAACTTTCGACCTGAATAAATATTTTCTATTCTCTTTCACAGCCGGATGTCTTGTCAACCTAGTGAGTCGTGCGACTTTGATGATCCCAGGCTCTTAAAGAACATGGAGGACCACCATGTGAGCAGAGAATTTTTCACTTGAGATATAAAATACCTTATGGCGTACCTTTATTTATGTATAGGGGTAGTGTCCTTAAAGTTGCAATTTGGAGTGTGGGAAAGAGATGCAGTCTCACTTTAATGATGTTAATATTTCAGGGAAGTAATCTTGAACAAAGGCTTTCTGGTTAGCACTTTTTATAAGTTAATGTAAACCTGACTGAAATATGTGGTGAAGTTATAAAGCAGCACATCAATATTAAGCCAAGTTTTACCATAGAATTCTCTAATATTTCATATTTCTGTTGCTTTATTTCTTAATTACCATTTCTATAGTACTATTTCTTCACAGTGGTGTAACTATGAAGTCATATATTTTGAAAAGTAATTGCAATATCCTTTGACTATGATAATTTAAAAAACAAAAGTAAGATATAATAACATGTAGCAGTTATAGGATCCTACTTGGTGCCAAACATTTGATATGTATTTCCTACACCAATTGAGTCACTCCAGAGATGTAATATGGTAAGAAGTTGTATAGAAAGATTGACTTGGCCAAGATTACCCAGAAAACAATGTAGAAATGAGACTCCTATCTTAGGTCTGTTTGAATCTTAATTATGATGTCACATTATCTCAACTATTGTAACAAACCATAATTAACTACAGTATCACATGAATCTATTTTTTTAAAGGACACTCTGAAAAATAACAACTTAAAAAAGTTTCAGTAATCAAAGTATTTCATAATTAGCTTGTCTGTATAAATTAGATCTAATATTATTAATTTTTTTCTGAATAAAATTTTAGTTTTCAAATTAGGTAAACTTGAGCAAAATAAAAATTTTACCTTTCCAAAATTTTATTAAGAGACTAGTGGCCTGGTGCATGAAATTTGTGTATGAATCATGAGGGGTCTGGGTCCCTCAACCCAGCCTACACCTTCTTCAATCGGCGACCCTTTGGGGGATGTCCGGTACTGGTTTAGACAGTCAGTCTAACCAGCAGTCAGACATCCCTCTCAATCTGGGACCACTGGCTCCTAACTGCTTACCTGCCTACCTGCCTGATCACCCCTAACTGTCTCTGCCTGCCTGCCTGATTGCCCCTAACCCCTCTGCCTGCCTGATTTCCCCAAACTGCCTCTGTCTGCCTGATCACCCCTAACTGCCCTCCCCTGCTGACCTGATCTCGCCCCTAACTTCTCTCCCCTGCCAGACTGGTCGCCCTCAACTGTCCTCCCCTGCCAGCCTGATCTCACCCCCAACTGCCCTTCATTGCTGGCTTGGTTGCCCCCAACTGCCCTCTCCTGCCAGCCTCATCTCTCCTTCAATTTCCTTCCCCTGCCCGCCTGATCACCCCTAACTGCCTCTGCCTTGGCTCCCACCACCATGGCTTTGTCCAGAAGTAATTTGGATGTCCAGAAGATGGCTGGTTGACCCAGTCTAATTAGCATATTATCCTTTTATTAGTATAGATAGATTATATAGGATAGGATTACTTAAATGGGTTGGGGGAAGCCTTTTTCAGCAGACAGAGATGCTTTTGGCAGACAAACACACATAATCCTTATATCTGGACTGATAGCCAGCCATATATACTATACTGACAAACCTGTCATTAAAAAATTAAACCGCTTTCTTACACCTTACACTAAACAGCTATTGCCCTTAAAACCCCTCCTTAGCCCCCACCTTAGGTTCTGCCTTCACAGTTTACCCAGAGTAGGTTCTAATTGGTTAGTTTCTATGCCAGTCAGCATCAGAAGCTCTGCCTCCTAGGCAGCCATTGGCTTCTCACAGTTCACCCAGATTTGGTTATGACTGATCAGTTTCTATGCCAGTCAGTGTCAAAAGCTCTGCCTCCTAGGCAGCCATTTGCTCCTTGCAGTTCATCCAGATTTGGTTCTAATTGGTTGGTTTCTATGCCAGTAAGCATCTCCAGGCAGGCCTATCTCTAGGCCTGATCAGGGAGGCTGGGCTGATTAGCAGTCGCCCCAGGCTGCTGGCGAGCAGGCTGAACTGCTGACCTCTTGGAGAGAGAGAGGCTCAGCTGCTGGCAAGGCCCAGAGAGAGATAGAGGGAAGGGCTGATCAGCTCTTGCCCCCCCCCCCCCTCTCTCTCTCTCTCTCTCTCTCTCTCTCTCTCTCTCTCTCTCTCTCTCTCGGCCTCGCCAGTAGCCTGGGGAGGATGCTGATCAGCCCTGCCATTCTCTATCTGCAATAGGTCAGCAGTTCAGCCCACTCACCAGTCCCCGCCCACCTGAGCCTGCTTCACAGGCAGCCTGTGTACAGTCATCCCTTTGGTGTTTTGGATGTTACGGACCCTGGCTCTTTATATATATACTAGTGACCCGGTGCACGAAATTCGAGCACATTAAAAGGGGATTAATTAGAGGAAATAATTTAATATTGCTATTTGCCCTTTCTCTATAATAGAAATGTCAGAGATGAAAGAAAATTAATAAATGTATATGAAAACCTTCCTCCTATCAGAGTCTAGGGCACACCATGGGACCCAGAGTCAAGTCCCTGCCCACCCACATGCACGTCAAAATCACATGAGACCCAGACCCGGCTGCCCCCCGATCCCCCCAAACCTATTGGGCTAGATCCAGACCCAGACAGTTCCACCCTTGCCAAGCCCTGTTGGGCATGGGGCGTAGCCTCAGGTCCTCTGGCCCAATGCCAAGCCAGGGGCATAGCCTGAGGCCCCCCAGCCCAGACCAGGGCGGGGGGCATGCTTTGAGGTCCTCCATCAAGCCCCGCCAGGTGGGGGACATGGCCTGAGATCCCCTGTCAAGCCCTTCTGGGTGGGGGGCATGGCCTGAGGTGCCCCTTCAAGCCCCGCCAGGTGGCGGGGGGCACAGCCTCAGGTCCCCCAGCCCAGCACCAGGAGGGGGTGGAAGCCTCAGGTCCCCTGGCCCAGTGTTGGGATGGGGGTACGGCTTGAGGTTCTCTGTCAAGCTCCACTTGGTGGGGTGCTTGGCCTCAGGTCTCCTGGCCTGGCACTGGAGTGGGGGGTGTGACCTGAGGTCCCCCAGCCTGATGCCAGGTAGGGGGCATGGCCTGAGGTCCCCTGTCAAGCCCCATGGGGCAGGGGAGGGCTAGGCTCAGGTCCCTGCTGATTACTTGTTAAGGCTCCTTATGGGAACTTGGCTTCAGTTATTGGTACAGCAATCTTTCTGATGGATTGATGGTCAATTAGCATACTCCCTCTTTATTAGATAGAATATATATATATATATATATATATATATATATATATATATATATGAGTGAGAGAGAGAGAGAGAGACAGAGAGAGAGACAGAGAGAGAGACAGAGAGAGAGAGACAGAGACGGAGAGAGAGAGAGACAGAGAGAGACAGAGAGAGAGAGCGAGCGAGTACACTGCTGGGGTCCAGCCAATTGGGACTGGGTGAGATGGGCCAGACATACCCCAGAGCTCTCCTGTGGTCCCTCCCTGGCCCTGATCATGCACCAGTGGTGTCCCTTGGCCTGGCCTGTGCCCTCTCACAATCCAGGACCCCGTGGTGGATGTTGGAGAGTCGCAGGCCAGGCTGAGGGACCCCACTGGTGCACTGGGCCTCTAGTTTTTTTTAATAAAAGCCTACTTGCCTATATTTAACACTTGAAAAAAGTTTTCTAGGATCTTGAATCTTTCTGAGGTCATTCTTCATTTTGGCTATTGTGTTAATTAAGCCACATGACCTTCAACATCTAGCGCCACTGTAAATGATGAAGACTGTAGGCTCTAATGTTTTTCTTGCATAAGGTGTGGGCTTAAATTAAATATATCCAATGCGTGTTTTAGAACATTTTTAAATTTTTATTTTTAATTACAGTTTATATCCAATATTATTTTGTGCTAGTTTCAGATACACAGCAGAGTCTTTTAGTTCACCAAAATATGGTTGAGGCAAGGGAAGAAGCAGTTTAGGATTTTTAAGGCTTTTTCTTTATTGATTTCAGAGATGAAGGGAGAAGAGAGAGACAGAAACATCAATGATGAGAGAGAATCATTGATTGAGTGCCTTCTGCATGCCCCCATGGGGATGGAGCCCACAACTCAGGCATGTGCCCTTGGTGGGAATCAAGCCCAGGACCCTTCAGTCCGCCGGCTGACGCTCTATCCACCGAGCCAGGACAGCTAGGGCAAGCAATTTAGGATTTTAAGCCTATGGATATCCTACATTTTTATCTATATTCCCTTGGGACCATTGACTAAAATTAAAGCCTTTAACCAAGAAAAATCCCTTACTTTCCTCCCAAGGGAGTACTTTTAATCCGCAAGGAATTTCTGTTTTCCCTGGGTCATCATTTTTTATTTTCTGGGTCATTTCAAGCTTGTATGGACTGATGATAGTCAAGATGGAATTTGCCTCTTAGAGAATCAACTCTAGGAACAATTCAAGTGATCCCTTAATTTTATCACTAACCAGTGACTTTCTAATTGTGAGATAATTTTCCAAAGATTTACCAAGGAAGAAACTATAACTGTATTATGCCTAGGACTTTTGAGCTTGAGTCTTCAATAATAAATTATTTGTATATAGATATTACTTATGTATTTTATAGCCGCAAATTGAAATGTAAAATAATTTTAGACCTGTATAGTTTTCTGCTATTTTTTATATTAAATAAATTGAATACATTCATTTCTAGATGTATAAAGCATTTGGTGCAGATTAAAATGTTAACTGAAGAACAAATATATAATTACAATTATATGAGGCACGTAGAATAGAGACAGAGCAGAAGAAAGATTACAAGGGGTGAGGGAATAGGGAAAATGGGAGTTATTGTTTCATGGGTACAGTGTTTGGTGGGAGGATGAAAAAGTTTTAGATATAGATAGTGGTGGTGGATACACAGCATTGTGAATGTATTTAATGCCACTGAACTGTACACTTAGAGATGGTTAAAATGTTAAATATTATATGTCTATTTTGTTTAACTTGTAAAATCACACACACACACACACACACACACATTCTCTAATAAACAATCAGTTTTTTAACATTATAAAGTATTTTCCTTCTTAGAAGTTAGTGAAAAAAGTTTACTTTCAAACATGGAGCACTTGTCTAAATATATTATAAACATCTTATCCATGGGCTTCAATTGAGTTTGTCTCACTTCCCTAATTTGTTACAGACTGTCAGGTTCAGTGGGGAACCAAAGGTAGATTAATTTTGTCTTGGGGATATTTTTGATCTTTAAGAATTTTATCTGGCCTTTTACTCAAGGTAACTTAATTTGAGTGTATGTGAAACTCTTCTTTATTATGCTCAAAATATTTCCTGCTGAGCTTATTTATTTGCTATTAAATTTAAGACTTTTTATATTGTTTCATTGTGGGAAAGTTGACATGCAGGACTAGAGAGTAGTTCTCCGATGCAGAAGGTAGTCTGGAAGTGAAATTCTGAAGTTAATGTGCTTTCGGATAGATTTCCTCACCACATTTGCAGTGCAGGCCTTGGGGAATTTGTAAATCCTCTAATTGTAAAATTTCATTGAGCTACAATTTAACGAGCATTTTCCCCCCTGAAGCCAGATAAGAAGTAGCTGTATGCTTCTGTGTTACTATGCAGTTGTTACTAAATCACATTAGCATGTCAGAGGAGAAACTAAAAATGTTAGTCACTATCCATTTGTGACTAAAAAACAAAAAATGGAAAGAAAAGAAAACTCCATAAAGAATTACAAACACAAAATTGTTTTCTGAATGTGAAAATATAAATCTATCTCAAATTAATGGTCAGCTGCCTACATAGGAATGAAACATTAAAGATAGTCATTTTAAAATAACCTCAGGACAAGGAAACTGGTGTCACCCCTGTCTTTGAACATCATTGTGAAAGTACAGACAGGTGGGAACTAAGCAAGTCTATATATTGGAAAGGAATAGAGATGACATCATTGTCTGCCTTAAAAATCTAGGTGAGTCAACTGCACCTTGGAGAGTGAGTAGGTGTTTATTTACAATTGGATATTGATTTAATTTATAAAATTACATGATTTTACTTACATATGAACAATAAACTTATAAAACATAATGGCAATAAGATTACATTAATAATATAAAAAGCAATAATGTAGTGCCTCACATATACAGTAGGCATGCAGATATTTTTGAATGAATAAAAATTAATAATAATAATGAATTAATAATAAATTAATGAATAAAATATTAGCACCCATATTTATAAGCTTTAGAAGTCTTTAATAAATAGCAGGACATACAGTATTCTTAGGTAGAAATATTAAGATGTCATTTCTCCACTAATTATAAATACAGTCTAATCCCAATGAAAAATGTCAGGATTTTGTGTGGGGGTTGGGGAGCATAAATAAATGTATTAAATACATATCCATGACTATTTTTTATTTATTTATTTTTATTTTTATTTATTTTATTTTTAAAAATATATTTTATTGATTTTTTTTGCCCCCTTCCCTCCCTCCCATACATACCCTCCCTCCCCATAGTTTTATGTCCATTGGTTGTACTTATATGCATGTACACAAATCCTTCGGTTGATCTATTATCTCCCCCAGATCTTCCTCCCCTCCCCCCTGTAATTTGACAGTCTGCCTGTTGCTTTACTGTCTCTATATCTGTCTCTTGGTTCATCAGTTTATAATGTTCTTTATCATCCACAAATGAATGAGGTCATGTGGTGTTTCTCTTTCATTGATTGGCTTATTTCACTCAGCATGATGTTCTCCAATTCCATCCAGGTTGCTGCAAATGATGAGAATTCCTTCTTTTTTATGGCAGCATAGTATTCCATTGTGTAGATGTACCAAAGTTTTTGGATCCAATCATCTGCTGACGGGCACCTAGGCTGTTTCCAAATTCTGGCTATTGTAGATTGTGCTGCTATGAACATAGGGGTGCATATATCCTTTCTGATTGGTGTTTCTAGTTTCTTGGGATATATTCCTAGGAGTGGGATTACTGGGTCAAATGGGAGTTCCATTTTCAGTTTTTTGAGGAAACTCCACACTGTTCTCCACAGTGGTTGCACCAGTCTGCATTCCCACCAGCAGTGCACGAGGGTTCCTTTTTCTCCACACCTCGCCAACACTTGTCCTTTCTTGATTTGTTGATGTTGGCCATTCTGACAGGAGTGAGATCGTACCGCATTGTTGTTTTGATTTGCACCTTTCGGACAATTAGTGACTTTGAACATGTTTTCATGTACCTTTTGGCCTTCCTTCTGTCTTCTTTTGAAAATATTCTATTTAGGTCCATTGCCCATTTTTTAATTGGATCATTCATCTTCCTTTTATTTAGTTGTATAAGCTGTTTGTAGATGTTGGAGATTAAACCTTTATCAGTGGTATTATTTGCAAATATGTTCTCCCACACCGTGGGCTTTCTTGTTGTTTTGTTGATGGTTTCTTTTGCTGTAAAAAAGCTTTTTATTTTGATGTAGTCCCATTTGTTTATTTTCTCTTTAGCTTTCATTGCCCTAGGGGCAGTATCAGTGAAGAAGTTCTTTTGGCATATGTCTGAGATTTTGCTGCCTGTGGATGCTTCTAGTATTTTTATGGTTTCCCGTCTAATGTTTAAGTCCTGTATCCATTTTGAGTTTATTTTTGTGAATGGTGTAAGTTGGTGATGTAGTTTCATTCTTTTGCATGTGTCTGTCCAAATTTCCCAACACTATTTATTGAAGAAACTGTCTTGACTCCATTGTATATTCGTGCCTCCTTTGTCAAATATTAATTGAGCATATTGATTTGAGTTGATATCTGGGTTCTCGATTCTATTCCATTGATCTATATGTCTGTTCTTGTGCCAGTACCAGGCTGTTTTGAGAACAGTGGCTTTGTAATATAGTTTGAAGTCTGATATTGAAATCCCTCCTACTTTACTCTTCTTTCTCAGGATTGCTGTGGCTATTCGGGGTCTTTTATTGTTCCAAATGAACTTTTGGAGAGTTCTTTCTAGGTCAGTGAAATATGCCGTTGGTATTTTAATGGGGAGTGCATTGAACCTATAAATTGCTTTAGGAAGTATGGACATTTTGATGATGGTAATTCTACCAATCCATGAACATGGTATGTTCTTCCATCTCCTTACATCTTCCTCTATCTCTTTTTTCAGTGTCATGTAGTTTTTCGCAAATAGGTCCTTTACTTCCTTAGTTAAGTTTATTCCTAGGTATCTTAATTTTTTTGGTGCGATGGTAAATGGAATTGCTTTTTTAGCCTCTGTTTCTGTAGTTTCACTGTTGGTGTATAGAAATGCCATGGATTTCTTGGCATTAATTTTTGTGTGGGGGTTGGGGAGGATAAATAAATGTATTAAATACATATCCATGACTATTTTTAAAAATATATATAATAGGCCACGGGGACACTGAGATTGCGAAGAGAGCAGACTTGATGTAGAGCAAGTGTCAATGCGATGGTGTGGAAGGACCAGGGACTTGGTGGTTGCTGAGTCAGTTCTCGGTACGAGGATCTGACATCCATTTGAGTGCCTTCTGTTTGCTTGGCCTGAGCATACATTCATGAGCAAGACAACCTGCTCACCCTCCGGCTCTTACAGAAGTGAGAGGAAACATGAAGGTGGCAGGGTGCTTGGCGTGTCCTAGGATGGGGCACTGACTTCCTCTTTGTTCTAACCTGACCACAAAGGCTAGCACTTCAAGAACCATGTTCCAAAAGAAGGGTGACAACAGCCTTCTCAGATGCACTGACTGGTAAACTGAATCCCAGAGGATGAGTAAATAGAATTGGCTGACCACATGTCAGGGGCAGGGATGGAACAGTAGGAAGGATGAGCATTGTTGGAAGAATTGCAAACCCAAGTGGCCGGTAGAGAGCACAGGAGGGCGAATGGCGGGAGATGGTGAGCAGGTGCCAAATCACGGGGACCTGGAGCCCACACTACGGATCAACCTCTGTTTAAAGGGAGCAGGAAGCCATTCCAGGGTTTTAGGCAGCAGATGACTTGGATCTACACTGATGTGTGTCAGTGGTGTAGCAGAAGGATTAACTTGCTCTTCTGTTTGTAGCCCACAGCTCATTGCATACAGGAGTTCCTCACCCTTCTGGCTGTGTGCCACACTGTTGTTCCCGAAAAGGATGGAGACAATATCATCTATCAGGCCTCCTCCCCAGGTGAGACCTCTTGTCCCATGTGCCCTGCTATCCCCTTCTCTGGAGCCTTGGGTGTTTGCATTTCTTGTGGGAGATGTGATGGTATATCCCACCCCACAAAGACCCCACTATTTGCCTGTGGCCTCACACAGATTATGGGCTAAGGCTGTAAGTGTTAAAACTAAAGGAAACTGGTGCTGGGTTCTACTGACTACAGCCACACATTGATGGCAGGAGGAGGTCCCAGGCCATCTTGCATTTCCTAGCACAGTGGTCGGCAAATTCATTAGTCAACAGAGCCAAATATCAACCGCACAATGATTGAAATTTCTTTTTAGAGCCAAATTTTTTTGTAGTAAAGCATTTAGGAGGCCTATAAACTTAAACTATATAGATAGGTACATTGTTATTAACTTAATTAGGGTACTCCTAAGCTGGCCTTTGCTGAAAACTCAAGGGGCCAAAGAGGCGCATGTGGCTTGCAAGCCACAGTTTGCTGACCACTGTCCTAGCAGAAGTCATTAAACTAGACAGAGCTGCACATAAGGCCAGGCTTCTTTAACTGGTGTGGGTTTTGCTAATTTGAAAAATAGTACTTGCTAAGCAGAATTCTGGCATTACCAGCGCTTAGTCAATGTTTCATCCACTCTTGATTGACAGATGAAGCTGCTTTGGTGAAAGGAGCTAAGAAACTGGGCTTCGTGTTCACAGGCAGGACACCGTACTCAGTCATCATAGAAGCTGTGAGTGACATGGGCACCTCTCCACCTTGTAGATCACCTGCTTTTTTGAAGACTATAATTTTATATAGCATGTCTGTTGTAAATATGGTAGCTAAATGTCTATTATTTTTTCTGTGAGAAAGTAGGCCCGTAGAAAAACCGAAAATGATACGTAATTTTATTAGTTCATTAATATTGTTTTTGCATTTGCAACAGCTTTTCTCTCTTAATGATGCTTCTTGACAAGTCAATACATAGATGTGAAATTATTTGTAGTAAAGCATTTAGGAGGCCTCCTCTCTGTTGAGTAATAGTTGGGAAACTGCTGCAGGGCCCACTTGCTTTGAGAGCAGCTTCTGCAGGCTGTCCCCGTGGCCTCGTGCCCAGCCGTTCTTGCATAAGGAGGCTCTTGCTCTATTGCTTCAGTCCTCTTGGCTGGGAGAGAAAGGAATTGGCATTGAAGATCCTTTTTATATACAGGAGTTTTTATTTTCCCTTCAGCCCAGGGGTTGATTAATTTTACTTATATTTTCTTACTTTCCCTCTCAAGAAGCCTGAGGGGAAAATTTGGTAGTAGGAACAAATTTAAATCAAGAATAAGATCACACAGGGATTCTTGAGAATGGCCAACAGGGGAAGTTGAAGGTTAGGACTGGTGAGGCACTGGTGTTTGCCATGGTGGTCAGTTGGTGGGGCTGCCTGTTACTCCAGTCTGGGTTGATGAGGGCCTGGAGAGAGCCTGCTTCCTCTCCTCTGTCTTTTTCTGCCCCTCAATTTGGGGGTCACTCATTGATTGTTACGGTTTTTGGGTTTATTCATCCTTAAGCCCCTAGACCTCTTTAATGCATTTGAAATTCACTTCTAACATATAATAACTTGATATTGTTCCTGACTTAGCAGTACTCCTTTTTCTTTACTTATATTTAAAACCTATAAAATATTATAACTTATAAAAGTGCCTATTTCTTGACATGGTTTAAGCAGACAGTCAGTTATATTTTAGGATACAAAGAGAAGGGGTGGGGAGTTGTGGATGAGGCAATAATGATTATTCAATGCTACCTTGTGTCAATCATGCACTTGGTAATTTGCATGTTACTTCATTTTTTCCCTCTCCAATCTAGGGGACAGGTACTATAATTATTTATAAGAAAGTCACACACTTAGTGGAGAAACAACTCAAACTCATATCTGTTGAACTCCAAAGCCCACATTCTTTTCACTGTGATGTATTGAAGAAATAGAGACAAAATTTGATCAAAAAGCTTGAAAATGGCACGTACATAATCTAGAATATTCTGAGGAGAAATTGAAAGCATTGAGGTTCCAACTTTGAAGAACCTGAAGAAAGGATATTTGATTAATTGTCCTAAAATCTGATAATGATTTATATTTCCTTGTTTTTAAATCTAAATTCTAAGAAAATTTTAATTATAAAACTTTTTCTAAATTTAGGATATAGGCATTTGGCAGATAAACTTAACCAGAGCTGACATGGGGCTATTTATGGTCTTTATGAATCTCAGTGTGAATACCAGGTAGTCATATATTTTGCTGAACAAAATTGATGTGTGGTGTTATAGAGGGTTGCCCTGGGGATGCTATAATGTATACACATGGTTCTATAAAATGTCTTAAATTCAGAATTCAGAAGTGTAACTGGCTGGAAAGTTGTCTTTTTATTTTCATGTCCTATAAGTAGCTATACAGCCTAACTAGAGAAAAATTAGAAGCTTTTACCAGAAGGGGGAGCTATGACACCACCAGACTGACTTGTAGGAAGCCAGTACTGTTGAAAAGCTTTTGCAGGGGAATAGAAGAATGAAGTGGAGAGGGAGAAAAAGAGAGATGAAGGAGAGAGGTATATGTGGAGAGGTTATGGAGAGACAGTTGTTTTGAGATTTGAATACTCTGCATCTCAGTTAAGAGCCCGTTTTTCTTTCTTTAGATGGGGCAGGAACAGACATTTGGAATCCTTAATGTCCTGGAATTTTCTAGGTATGTTTCTCTTTCATGCATTTGAAATAAAATACATATACATATACATATACATATACATATACATGTACATGTACATGTACATATACATGTACATGTACATGTACATGTTAGTGTGTGTGTAATAACTTCATCAGAGTGTTTGCATGATGGTATAGTTAATATAACACTTAAGTATTAAATATAGTAAATATATCTCCATAAACCCTCTTCTTTCTGGAATTTGTGATTCATTAGAGAAAACAAAGTAGGTAAATTTTCTTACTTTCAAATGAAATGTTGTGCTTCCATATCCTTCTTTTCCTTTAGGTTTTGAGAACCTGGTGTTCTCGCATCAGGATCCACAGACATGCCTGCATAGTTTGGAGTATATGATGAGGGCATTATTTATATTGGTTTTCCCAGGTCATCTGAGTACTCCCATACAGGAACTAGGGAACAGACAAAGAAGAATAGATAAGATGAATTCATCCCACTACAGACTTGATCTGAGCAGGGCAACTCTCCGTATTCGGACTTAGTCTTCCCAGTGTAGTTTATTCAATTTCGATCTGGGAATACTTGTTGGATTGCTTGTTTCCCTAGATCATTCATAGTTCAGTATAAAAGTATCTTAATGTTTTGTTTTCCCCTTCTCAACATTGAACTGTTCATACTAGAGCAAGTTTCTGTTGTTACCTCCAAAGCATCTTTTCTTATTAAAATTAGGTGGATATTTCAACAACCTTTGTTAAATGATTCATGAGTTGTTTGCTCTGTCTGCTTTTTAAGCTATTTGAAAAAGATCAATTTTTATCCTCTTTTAGGAAATGCTTCCCAGCCTTAGTCTTTAGTTTTAGGATTGCAAACTTGAATCCTTAGGATTGAGTATTCAATGGGAGAGAAAGGTAGTTGATAATAGTAGTAGTTCACATAGAGGGTTGGGGACAGGTCCATGTGTGGAGGTAAGGGGCTTACTAACCATCTCTCTAAAACAAAAACAAAACAAAAATTTTTTTAAAAAATAAATAAACAAACATCTCTCTACATCTCTCCAGATGTTTTGTGCCCCATCTCTTGTCGATGTCCTGGAAACTGTGCTGTTATGTGGCTCCATTAACTGGGGGCAGCAGTTATTGTAGGGATGAGGAAGAGGAAAGGGAGTTAGATAAAAATAGGTAAATATGGATGAAGATATGAGAATCTATTAAAAAATATAGGTGAATAAGAGGGAAAAAAAGTCACTTCTGGTTATAGTTGTGGTTCTGTTTCATTTTAGTTGACTCATCTTTTTCTAGATACCACTTAATCACTCCTTTGAAGTGATTGGTGGCAACCGTGCTTTATACAGAAACTGAAATTTGGGGTGAATAATTGCTTAGAGCACCTGGCTACCAGGTAGCTCAGAGAGAATTCAAATCCAGATCAGAGAGTGTGCTGTGGGTTAGGATGCAGGGATTTACACAAAGCTGGAGAGATACTGTCCCCTAGTCTCGGGAGCTTACAGTCCATTGGAAACTATCTATTCAAAGGCCAAAGAGGTGGGGGATCAAGGGCCCACTGTAGTTGGGACATATTTCAGGAGGATGAAATGGTGTCTCTCAGGCATGGAACTGAGGGGCTAAAGAAGGAGAACGGTGAGGCTTCTGGTGAGCTGGGAGCCTGGTGTGTGAGAGGGTGAGTGGGAGATCAGGGGAGGCTGCAGGGTTGGCTGGAGATCAGCAGGAAGAGGAATCCATAGGCAATGGGGAGCCATTGAGGCTTCCTGAGTGAGGAAGTGTCTACGGTGGAGTGGGGAAAGGAGTGCTAGATAGTACTTAGTGCTCAGTTAGGGGTGTTCTATGAATTTCTTTCTACTCCAGTTAAAAAATACAATGAGGAACTTCTGAATTAGGTGGATTTACAGTGAAGGTTCTCCATTTTGCTCTTACTGGGCAGGTTACTTAATATTTTTGAACTGCAAAATAAAGAAAAATAGTTTTACAGAGTATTGTCAGAAGTGAATTAGATGTTCATAGTAGATGCTCAAATTCTCTGTTTCTGTGTCTTTGACTATAAATAGCTACACTGGAGAGTTTATTATAGCAGGGAAAGGAATATCTTTATGTCCATTATATGTAAATAAAAAGAATAGGAGATATATAATTAAAATTTGACTTGGAGGAAAAAGATAGGGGAAAATGGAGCTTGGTCATTTTGGTGCTTGCCAGATCACTTTTTGACTTGTCTGGCATTTAATCATAGGACAAAGATCCTATAAAACAGACCAATGAGAACTTTCTTTTCCTTTTTTATATCTACAGCAACAGAAAGAGAATGTCTGTAATTGTTCGAACTCCTTCAGGACAACTCCGGCTCTATTGTAAAGGGGCTGTAAGTACTGACTAGTCCTGCACAGCAGGGCATTCTTGCAGCCCTGCTGTTAATCTGGCTTTTCCCAAAGGCTGTCCTCCTCATTCTGGGTCATTTGCCCAAGGGTGAAAGGTTCTTTCAGGTGGGCCATCAGGTTGGCTTTGTAGTGAAGCCCATTGACGATAATGGTGATTCAAGCCAAGGTGGCAAGGATGGCTAATGAAAAGCTAGCTTATATTCAACAGCTGGCTTCAGAAACAGTATCTTGCTGTGTCATGGAAAATACTGGGAGTATGAATTCTGATTCTAGTTTACCATTATTGTGTGGTAACTTTGGGAAGATAAAGTAATTTGTGATAATCCTTATATATACAGGGTGGGGCAAAGTAGGCTTATAGTTGTGAGTGTGGGAACCCTAGTTAATAAAGCTGTTGTAATCATGACCTACTTGTCTTTTTCCATACAATTACCTGTAAACCTGCCTTTGCCCCACCCTGTATGATTAGATATATGAAGATTGTATATATATATATATATATACATGTGTACTTAAAACAGCAGTTCTCAATTTTTGTGATTTATTTTTTTTATTCATCACAGAGGGTTATGTGGCCATATTTTTACTGCCCCCCCTGTGGTCAGTTTTCTAGGCCAGGCTTTTTGTTCCGACTGCCTCCCAGTAATCACATCTAAATGTATTATCTTTAAGGAAAGATGTTACTGTATCTGAGCCTGACTTGCAAAACTATATCTTATTAAGTTATGGTCCTATGTGTCGAAGGAAAGAATTATTAAGCTCATTTTATGAGTCTGTGTCAAGAATATGAATTGAAAATTTTACTAACCTTTATCAATTGTGGGAAGAAGCATTTTCTTGTTTCAGGACACTTAGCTAGAGCTTTTAAAAAATGAGTCATGCATGGGAATTCTAAAAGTATTTTATCTGGACTCATTAAAGAATTCTGTTTATAGTAACTGAAATCAAGATTATGTTTTCACATGATAGGGTTTTTAAGTGTTTTATTTGTTTGCTTATTTGCCATTGTGTTCTAAGTACCACAGCAAGTATTATAGATAGGGCAATGGGGTGCCACAGAGGAAGGTTGTAACTAAACAGTATAAATATGGAAATGCTACAGTGCAGTTTTTATAGTATTTAATTTTCTTCAACCTGTCTCCCCAAACCAAACTACATTTCTTTAAAATAGAACTGTGTCCTAAAACTGTACAGTTTATAGCATATTAGATGGGTTATCTGAGTTGTCCAGTCCTTCAGCCCTGTTTGTCAGTCACGGAAATTGTCAGAGGGTGATGTGTTTCTCAGCTGAAAGGGGTTCTCTGCACCATGGGCAGTGCTCTCCTGGTTAGGAGGAGCTTCTGCAGTGTCAGGAAGCAAGAGTACTTGAACAATTTAGGACATGCCTTTATCTTCTCACTTCTGCACAAAGGTGTTATAAACTTTGGTGTGAGTTGTGCAAATTTGAGGGAATGCAGCACCACTGTGTCTTGGATGGTTCTGCTTACATTGATGGTCTTCCCAACATGTTTATTTATTTATTTTTAAACTTTTATTATTATATCATAAGCCTATTGCATGAAGATTTGTGCAAGAATAGGCCTTCCTTTCCCTGGCTTTGCTCCCAGATGTCTGAGAGCCTACAGTCTTCAGTCTTGGCCCAAGCTCCGGTCCTGTAGCTCCCTCTACATCCTGCTCTCCCCCTCATAGCAGGCGTCCTGCCTTGCCCAGGCCACTCTACACCTGTGTATACAAATTAGCCTGCCATCTTTGTTGGGTTAATTTGCATGCTCACGCCTGATTGGCTGGTGGGCATTACGGAGGTACAGCCAATTTGCATATTTCTCTTTTATTAGTGTATATTTTAAATTTTAGTTTTCAATTACAGCTGATACTCAGTCTTATTTATATTAGTTTCTGGTGTACTGCCTAGTGGTTAGAGAGTTCTATAATTTACGAAGTGATCCCCAGATCACTTAAGTACCCACTACTTGCCCACTCAATATTCTCATGAGAATAAAATAAACACCATTGAAACAAAGCTGTGTTCAGAATGCTAACCAAAGGTTTACTTATGGATTGCCAGTCACACTATTTCCTTATTTTATAGGACAATGTAATTTTCAGTAGACTTTCAAAAGATTCAAAATACATGGATGAAACTTTATGCCATCTGGAATATTTTGCCACAGAAGGTAAGTGAAATTTGGAAATGCTATTTTTAACCACTTAAGTCGTACTTTCAAGGGTCTATGACTGGTGCCTGGATAAGCAGTCGTGCTCTGAATAGACATGTTATGGTTGGACATGGCTGGCTTTAGAGGAGTATACATTTCCAATCCCTGTGCCCATCCCCCACATTCTGTGCCCTTGGCAGTGACAAGATGTGTGGCAAGGTCCATATTCAGTTACCTACATATGTCCCTGCTGACTCCAACCAGCAGTGCAGAGGGAAAAGGCAGGCCAAAACTGTCTGTATAATCAGCTTGTAATTATGGTTCCCTTTCTTGGAAAACTCCTGTTATTTTCTTGTCCCTCTCTTGTGGTCCTTATGAAACTGGCTTACCCAGCAGGAGGAGTACAGAGGAAGCTAATGACTTCAGGAAATAATTCATTGGACGCACAGAGGAACAGGAAAAGAGTTCTCTGAAAGGCTTTAAACAGCATTGATGTCAGGGTTTCCTGCAAGGGAATGTGATGAAAGCTGGAGCCTTGCTGAAGTGCTGACTGTTGCTTTTTCTTCATGTGTTCCTATGGCTGCATACACACATGAGTGCGTGTGCACACACACATACACACAAACACACACACACGGCTGCTTGAAAGTCTGGATCTTTCACAGGATAGCACATTGGGTTTTTATTGATGTCTTGAAATGTGCCTCCTGCCTCCTCTAATTGCTGATACCTGCTACTGCACATATAAAGATAGATCCTGTATAACTCTTGTACTTCTCTACTGTGGGAATTCACTCTTACAGCTTCTCACGTACTCTCAAATCTATAGAAAAGGTGGTTTATATTAAAATACAGTAGAGTTGTTTTTAAATTCTCTTTTTAGATGTGTGCAAATTGAATTAGTGACTTAAAAAGCAGCAGGTTTAAAAAAAAAGTTTTTGGGCATTCTGGTATGAAATGGAGCCACATGAGATTAGCTAGGAGAGAAGTTACCCTGCTTGCCCTCCCACTAGTGGTATCATCAGGATATACTGTGGCTGTTTTGCAGGTTTGCGGACTCTCTGTTTGGCATATGCTGACCTCTCTGAGAGTGATTATGAGGAGTGGCTGAAAGTCTATCAAGAAGCCAGCACTATATTGAAAGACAGAGCTCAGCAACTGGAGAAGTGTTATGAGATCATTGAGAAGGTAATTGCACATGATAAAGTCCTTACTGCCCAATGACGGGCTTACCCTCCTGTTGAACAAAGTCTGGGAGCTGGAATATTTTGCTGTAGAGTGATGTTCTATTTTCTGGTATGTCAACCACTAGCCATATTTTCTGGTATGTCAACCACTAGCCATTCCTTACCTTGTTTTAAGAAACACTTAGTTTTTTACGGACTGTCTGAGGTGTAGCCGCCCTCAGCTAAGTATTAGTGATTTCTTAAGAAGTTTCAGGTCAATGATTTTCTAGGTCTGCCCAAGATTAGGCTTAGCAAGATGATCCCATCCTATTGAGTTAACAATGAGAATTCATAGGCTGGTAGGTCATTGTACATACTGTGAATTCTCACACCTATGTATTCTAATAATGTAAAGTTTTGACATTTTTACTCCCTGCTGCCTACTTTGATTTTTGTTGTTGTTGTCTTCTTCATTTTATCCCAAGACCTTAGGTATCTTTCTATACATTGGATTCTATCTGTTAAAGGAAAAAAATTCAACTGAGTAAATTTGAAGATCTTATTGGCTTTACTAAACAATTGGTAGCATCCCATCTAGCAATGAGAAGGGTGGTCTGAAGGTTTTTATAGGTTCTGACGGTGTGTCAGGGGCGTTATTAGTAAAAGAAAAGAAAGGACTATTTTTAGGCTGAGTTATCTTTTGTTGGGAAGAGGTAGGTAGGGGGTTTATTATGCAGATTACCTCACTAGTATTTTCCAGGAGATTCCAGCCTGATTGGTTTAAAATTTCATTGCAGGGAGAGGCTGAAAATGCAATTAGGTTAGTTATTAAATGTTGGTTTAGTGGCATGGCTTAATGATAGTGACTCCATTTTGGCCTGTAGTTTTTCATTTGTTTAATTGCTTCTGTTTTTCATTCACCTCAAATCTGGTAGCTTGATTTCAATTTCTGTTTCATATTAGCAACCATTGGTCCATCCATTTTTCAGTTTTTTATAACTCTGAAGTCATTACTTGATTGCCTTTTTCATCCCTTTCTGTGTGTGTGTGTGTTGTTTATTACCACTTTGCTATTTTATACTCAGCTTTTGAGTTTTATATTCATTTGTTTGTCATTTTATTGGATTTTGGGTGGGAGTAAAACTGAATTCAACTTGCCCTGCTTTACTTTCGGAGTCAGAAAAAAGTGATTAAGAAGGTAATCTGCACCTGCAATATCAGGCATATGTGGTGGATGCTCGAGAAATAGTTGGCTTTTCTCATCAGTTGAATTAGTTTCTTTTCAATGAATTCGTTTTTCTCATGTTTTAACTCTAACACTAGAAGCCGGTGCACAAATTCATGCATGGGTGGGGTCCCTAGGCCTGGCTAATGATCACCGGGCCGGGCACGGAAGGAATGGATGCCAGATGTCAACATGGTTCCCTGCCTCACCCCAACTCCTTCCCTAACCACCATGCCACCACCGCGGTGGGCAGGCGGTGGGCCAGTTGGGGCCTGCTGGCCTGGGGGGCAGGGCACAGGAGGTTAGCTGCCGGCCCTGAGGAGAGAGCTGGCCCTTGCCCCCCCTGGGAAAGGGGCTGTATTTACCACCATCCACTCCTAGATCCCCATCCCAGCTGGGGGCCCAAAGGACCCAGCAGGGTTGGGAGAGAAAGCTATGGTCACTGGGCTGAGTGCGGAAGGAACAGACACTGGACACCACTGCTACCATTGGCACCCTGCTGCACTGCCAATGGTTGGGGCCTATGGGCTGGGGGAAAGGTCTGGGAGAGGGACTGTGGGAGGTTGACCAGCCAGGGGGAGGGACCACGGGTGGTGGGCCGGCCACAGGAGGTTGGCTGTGGGAGTGCACTGATCACCAGGGGGCAGCTCCTGCATTGAGCATCTGCCCCCTGGTGGTCAGTGTGCATCATAGGGACTGGCCAACTGGTCGTTCCTGTTATTCTAGTTGTTTGGTTGTGATGGTTGCTTAGGCTTTTATATATATATATAGATAATACTTGAGTCATTTTCAGAGTTACAAGGGAGGGCTCATATACTATTAATATCATCAGGATGACTTGCCCACCTATTCTGCTAGGTGACTTCTGTTCTAAAAAGCCGATGTACCAAAAAAATGAAAGAGTACTGGATGCCTATGTGTATGGAAAGGTTTGGACATTGGCAATAGCTTGGAAATGCCATACATCTAAATATCATTAACTATCTGAAAACAAAGGTTTAATGTAGAGGAAACATGATTATTGTCTCACAATATTTTGACTGCCTTTTTTTTGGTCAGAGTTTTGCCATAAATGCTGCTCTTATGTACCAGTGTTTAATTGAAGGTATTTTTCAATCTAGAATTTACTTTTACTTGGAGCCACAGCCATAGAAGATCGCCTTCAAGCAGGTGTTCCAGAAACCATAGCAAATCTGCTGAAGGCAGGAATTAAAATATGGGTGCTGACAGGAGACAAACAAGAAACTGCAATCAATATAGGTAATGAATTTAAAAGAATTCCCTGATGCTGGTTTTTGTGTTGTTTTTAAAGTGTCTTGTAGAAACAATTAGGGGTTCCTCAAGTGCATTGAAGATTATATTTCATAGAACTCTTCATTCTAAGCCAATAAAAATTTACTGAAATCAAATGAAGATGGCCTTTGGAGCATTATCTATCCATTATAAACATTATAAATATTACATCTTCCTGAAAAGTATTAACCACAGTTACATGGGATATAGAATTTAAGAGTTAACAACTTTGATTTTATTATTGCCTTCTTCACAGAGTTATAGTCTAAGATACTAAGAGCATGTTTTCACTAAGTTTACATACGCAGTTATTTTATATAATTACTTGAGTCCATGCACTGGTTGGTCCCTTGGCCTGGCTTGTTCCCTCTCTCAATCTGGGACTCCTCAGGGGATGTAGGAGAGCCAGTTTTGGCCTGATCCCCGCAGGCCAGGCCAAGGGACCTCTCTGGGTCCGAGGTGTGGGTGAAGCAGATTCAGAGTCAACAGTGCCCCAGCAGCAACCTAACTCACTGCCAATTCTGGGAGGAATCTGGCTCACTCTTCCCTCTTCTCTGGGTCTGGGGTGTGAGTGAACCAGATTCAGGGTGGACAGTACCCTAGCAGCAACCTAACCCATGGTCAATTCCATGAGGAATCGGGCTCCCTCCTCTACTGGTCAGAGTGTCTTCCCCCTGGTGGTCATTGTGTGTCATAGCTACTGGGTGAACAGTCGAATGATTGGACGGTCGCTTAGGCGTATATATATATATATATATATAGGTAGATAACCATTTTAATGATTTTATCAATTAATAGATTTTTCTAAGAGTTATATTTTTCTTTTCCTCATCTGAGTTGGCTTTGGTTGCTAAGTTATACAGAAATGAAAATTGAAGAAAAGAAATTTAAGTACAAATAACTCTATCAGTATTAAAAGGTACATTTTAAGTTTGAAAAGGAATTGAAACTAGTAATTAAAAATTAGTTTTAATTATTTGAATTATTTTTAAATCATCTGGTATTTCTGTCACCATTATGGTGTTACAAGCTGTGGTGTATATGTGATAAAATGAATATATGAGGACTACATAACTTATAATGTACTTATGGAAAGAGCATCTTTGTCACATATCACTTTAGAATAGGGGTGTCGAACTCAATCAGAGAAGGGGCCAAAATCTAAAATCCAGCCTAAATCGCTGGCCGAATGGTTTACTGAACAGTCATAAACTGTCATTGTGATGGAAATGCAGCGGAGTGCAGTGATGACAGCGCGGTGCGGGCCACATTGCAAGGCCTGGCTGGACGGATTTGGCCCGCGGGCCTTGTGTTTGACACATGTGCTTTAGAAAGTAGCATACTAGAACATCTGAATTTTGTCCTGTTTGGAGTAGTCTTCCTGGTGCCCCTTTCCCTACACCTTCTTTTTTGAATCAACTCTATCTCTTAGATAATCTCAATTGTAGACAATATCTACCATATTGAGTGAATTTCATCTCCTTAAAATTTTTATTTATTTTTTATTGATTTAAGAGAGAGAGAGAGGAAAAGAGAGATTGTGCTCCATCTGGGAATCAAACTATCAACCCTTCGGTGCATGGGACATATTCAACCAACTGAGCTATCCAGCCAAATCTCATCTTTTTTAAATAGACAAAAACCATTTAATAATTTCTTCTCAAGGATATATATAGCTAATCAAATGCAATTTGAACTCCCAACCAGCTGAATATAAAGTCATAGAAGAGTAACATGTGATTCATGAGCAGCCTCTGAAGCATTAGTTATAGAATTTGTCCATTGATCTGTGATAGATCTCTTTCAAATGCAAGTTTTTGGAGAATAGCGTGATGAAGTTTCTGTGAAGGCCTATTACTACTACTAAAAAATAAAAACGTATTTCTTATAACCTTTTGGTGATATTGTAACATTTGTATAAATGAAGGATAATACATTGGCTTTTGGTATAATGTCCCTCTCTATATGTATATACCCTGGCCCTTCAGTTTCCCATATAAACTTGGCCTAAAGCACCTGCTATTGAATTATGGCTCCTGTTGTTCATACAGTGTAAATAAAGTTGACTGCTGCCCAGAAATTCTTAGTTAAAATTTAGGAGTATGTCCTAGCTGGTTTGGCTTAGTAGTTACAGTGTCGGCCTGCATACTGGAGGGTCCTGGGTTTGATTCCCGTCAAGGGCACATGCCTGAGTTGCGGGCTTGATCCTCAGTGGGGGGCATGCAGGAGGCAGCTGATTGGTGATTCTCTCTCATCATTGATATTTCTATCTCTCTCCCTTCTCTCTGAAATCAATAAAAATATATTTTAAAAAATGTAGGGATATGTTTTATGCTCTTCTAGAGCAATATGGAAGAAGTGGGTAACTCCCACAAGTTAAAATAGAACCATAATGATAAGCTTTCTTAATTTTCTAGATCTTGAGTGTTTCTGTTAGACTAACAGTCTTTTTATGTCCCTAAATCCAGACTTAATTTTCACGGCCAGACCAACCTGCCCTCTGGAGAAACATGTCCCTCTTCCTGCTTGTTCCTTTCGTTTATTGCAGCTCACCAGAGCCTAGCCAAGTCTGGATAAATACAAACAAAAGCAAAGGGCTGCAAACCAACCCAGAAACACAAATGGCTTCTTATTCTGAGGAAAACTTTACTTGCACACAATGAGGCTTCTCTGAACCTTATGGGATATTAGATACCTGTCCAGTTTTTACAAATAACAATTGTATGATTTTGTGGTGTTTTTTTTCTCTCAAAGAATGTATAACAACATCCATAAGATACTTTAAATTTGATAGTTTGCAGCTAATTTTCAAGACCATTATGCCTCCTACTTATAAGCTGATGACTTTGCCAAAATCTTTTATTTCTCCTGGAGCTTGTCTCTACATACATTTGTGTAGTGTGTTAGTTGAATTCAAAAATCTCTTGGGTGTCACGAAGTAGGCTTGTAACAGCTCAGGCTCTGATGTACTTTGGAAAAAACTATGTCTGAATTATTTTTCACTTTGTATTCAGAACTCAAGTAAGTAACCCTGGGCGATGTTGAGAGATTAAATGTCATTTTCTGACTTATGGTATCTGTTGAGCCTGCACATGTTACAGAATGTGTAGACATCTATTAATAGTCAGTCATTTTATTAGACTCTCGTATGTCAGATCACAGATAACAGCTACATGTAGCACAAGGTCATGCTCTAGATCAGCGTTTTTCAACCGCTGTTCCGCGGCACACTAGTGTGCCGCGAGATGTTGCCTGGTGTGCCGTAGGTGCAGACAAGACAAGAATTTTATAATTTTTCACTATTTTGTTTACTTAATATTTCATAATAAAGTAATTATAAAATACTTTCTTTGTGTTTATTTGATTCCTATTCAAGAGAATTACTTTATATATAGTCAATATAGGCACAGAGTTAAATTTTTTAACATTTTCTAATGGTGGTGTGCCTCGTGATTTTTTTCATGAAACAAGTGTGCCTTTGCCCAAAAAAGGTTGAAAAACACTGCTCTAGATAGTCTGGGTTGTAAACCTGTGTTCTAACCTAACCCTAACCTTAACCCTAATCCTCGGTAACATGAACCATTATTGATCTGTCTCTTATTATACTGACTGGATATTCTGTACATTTTTGTACATTCTATGTGCATCTACAGTACCCAGGAGATATTTGGCAGGAAGATCAAGTGTCTAGTAATCATACCTCTAGGTGAAGTCAGGAAAAGAGTGCAAATGAATAGTGTCTGAGTGTCAGGCTCTGTGCTGGGCATGCTTTCTGGACACTATTCTCAGTCTTTACACATGAACAACCTTAAGCTCAAGGGGGAAATTCAGAGTTTATAAAGATTACACTCTACTTAATGACCAAGAAAATACTGGGTCTCAGGGCTTTTGACTTCTGATGCAGGGATCATTTTAAACAGATTCATAAAATTTTGCAAAATCTGTTTGCTGAAATTTGAGTTAGCTGACAGGAGGCTAAGTGTAGTATATTTTATTCATTTGAAGATGCACATTGTTTTTATATTTTAACTTTTCTAAAATTAGGATGCCTTAATGATTTTCAACTCTTAAAATTTTAAGGCAACATGTACTCAGAAGTACATGTAGTCAGAGTGCATATTTAGAGACTAGAGGCCCAATGCATGAAATTCTTACAAGAGTAGGCCTTCCTACCCCTGGCTGCTGCCATTGGCTTCCCTCTGGCATCCGGGACCCGGGCTTCCCTCCTAGAGGGAGACCCCGCCCACCCACTGCAGCCTGCTGGTCCCTGGCCGGGCCCCCCTCTTTGGGGCAATCGATTGCCCCACCAGCCTGTGGCCTGAGCCTCCCTCTGCGGGGTGATTATGGGATGATGGCTGGGCCCCTGACAATCACATCTTACCCACCTTGGCTGGCCTGGCACCAAATGGGTTTCATAGCAGGGTCCCAGATGGTCATTTGGATGGTCGTTCCACTGTTTGGCCTTCGATCAATTTGCATATCACACTTTTACTAGGTGTACCACTTAATAATGCGGATTTTTTTCAATAGATGGAGTTACACATATGTTGATATATTTGCGATTTGATATGTATGCTGTTTTGTTGTATTGATAACAACCTTCAAAACCTCATATGTCAAATTTGCTTAAGGTGTTATTAATATCATAGATATTTTTATGCTTAAAAATGTCAAATTTTGTGACAAAAAAAGAGCGTTTGCAGGAAGTTTTAAATCATTACTTTATTTTGAAAAAAAAGTTATTGTATACTTTGGAAAGCTTATGGTGAATATGCTCCATCTTGAGATACTTGTGAACACTAGTTTAAATGCTTTAAAAGAGATGATTTCGATGTGAAAGACAAAGAGTGTCCAGGTCAATTGAAAAATTTTGAAGAACAATTACAAGCATTATTGGATGAAGATGCATATCAAACTCAAAAACAACTTGCAGAAAGATTAAATGTTGCTCAGCAAACAATTTCCAA